CAGAACACAGATGGATTCTGAGATGTTTCTATACATTCTTACAAATAATACAGAGTGTTACTCCTTAGTCTAGAATATAGTGGATTTCTTTAGTATCTTTGAAGATGGCTTTAACTGTATGTAACAGTATAGCCTGTTCTACAACTGACTCTAGACTCTACACATACTGTGAGACTTGAACTACAATTGTATCTTTAGAAGTCATTAGTTCTAAGGGTTCTGTCAAGACAAGGTGTGTGACAGTATTCAGAACTCACTTAGCAGATAACAGTTCCTTGACTTACTTTCAGACATCAGGTACAATTAACAACAGCTCCTTTAGAGTGAGGCTAATATTAGAGTTTAGAATGTGAGAGACTATCTGCTAGACAATGATAGGGTCTTTGATAGGAGAGAGATTACAGTACTAATGTGGTTCTGGTAGTAGTCTGGTAGTAGGCTTGTTAGTGTACTTTGATCTGTCATACTTTAGAGCCTGGCTTACTTTAGTAAGTAGTGTGAGCTTTAGTTCCAGCTTAGGTTCCTTATCCTTCTTCTTTAGAACACTTATTGTTCTATACCTTAGAACCTCTACTCTGTTGAACTTGAGCTTCTTACTAGTAGCAACTTTCTTCTTTGCCTCTCTGAGTAAGACTTTAAGTCTTTCAACCTTGTATTCTACTTCTGAGACTTCTTCAATATATGTGACTAGAACAGTAAACAATGTTTAGGATACTAGTACTGGTTTTACAATTTCAAGGAGGGACACTATATGTGGTAGTGTGTCCTGTACATTTTAGGAGACTTAAGCATACTTTCTAGAGTTGGTTGTATAATACTAGTTAAAACAATCTATAAGTAGTTAGCCTTAGATTGTTGACAGAACAAACAATCTGTTAGGGAGAACAACCTTTCTAAATGTGTTCCAGATACACTTTCTATTACAAATGAACTCATTAACCTTTGAACACAAGTGAATAAAGTGTCTGTCTTCTCTGTAGAAGGAGCAGTTTGTGTTACAGGACAGTCTTACAGAATGAGTAGATTGTACAGATTGTACAGATTGTGTACCTGTGTTTCCTATAAACAGGGAACTGGTCTTACATTCAAACAAGTCTAACTTGCTTTAGAATGAGTAGAGCAAATCAAGAATAGTGACTATGTTTGTGTCTTCTTTCTTTATTAGAATAGTTCTAGAACTTATTGTTCTAGACACATTAGTTGTCTTTCCCAAGTATTGTAAAGCCATACCTCCCTATATAAGCTTAACAGCCTTAACAACTTTAGTGTATGTGTAAGCTATACAACTGTTGTAGTTAGAGTTGTAGACTAGCAAACAGAGAGTTAGCTGATCTTTGAAGGCACCTATAATACTGTTAAGGAACACTTTGTTCCAATCTTCTTCTGTGATTTCTTTCTTTAAGACTAGGAAGCTTGCTATCTTCTGGAATTCACACTAATACTCTACAAACTCCTCTCAGTTCTGAATTCTGGTGACAGTCTATTGTTGGACTAGAATACAGAGGTTATTCTTTGTATAGTAGTAATTACAGTTAAGGGACAGGTATAATCCAAGAATTACTACTTAAGCAGCTTACTAATCTGAGGCACTGTCTACAGCTTCAGGTATTAAGGCCTAGATCTTAGAATCAGATTAGTTAGTATAATATTTTACTCTCTAAATAAGCTGTTGATTAGAAAGTTGGAACTCATCTTTAATCATTTCTACTTCTTTAAGGAACTGAGGCAGGTCCTACACATTAGTTCTGTTATAACAGGGAGTATTACAGCTTGTTTAGTATAGGAGTAAGCTAGTCTGTCCTCAGATTGTAACTAGTAGAGTATTTAGAATGTTAGTTGTAACTAGCTAGCTACTCAGAGTACTGGCTATAGTAGACAAGCTGCTCAGATTATTCTGTAAGCTCATCTGTTAAGACTGGGAACTTATCAGATTGTTCTGTATACTCAGAACTGTTAGAACAATTGGAATTGGTAGAAACACTAGAGTGATTGTGTAGTCCTCTTCTTAAACAGACAGAACAGAAGATACAGAACAAGTAGAGTTGTGTGTAGAGGTTGATAGAAACAAACTAGGGAACAAACTATGAAACATAGATAGTGAAGCTAAGCTGGATTGCTTAAGAGGTTGTACAGAAACCCCTTTAGAAACAGGACTGAGTGTACAGAATACAGATTGTAAGAGGTTACAGTTGACTAAATCTAATTTAGGTCTAGAATCTGATTCTTCTGTAATTGAGTTAGTGTACTCTTAGTAGTGCTGCCACCTGTTGGCTGCTCAGCCTACTCAAGACACCTTAAGAAACCCCCCTTACAGTAGGCTCCAAAATGTTGATCTCAAGTACTAGTTAAGGTAGAAGAGGTTAGTTGAGTCTGTAAGGTACAAACACTAAGAGGGGTCAAGAGTAAGAAGGAATAGGTAGATCTGAGCAGAATGTACAAGTTCTGAAGGTAATAATTAACAAGACAAGAGTAGTGCAGAATGACAAAGCTATACTTTAGAACAAGACAATATGAGACAAGATGAGGTGAGATAAACATTTACTAAGGAGACTGTCAAACTACACACTAAGAGTCACAGTAGAGAGTAACTTGATTGCTAGAAAGTACAAATTACATGAGAGTATTTATAGAAATTATGAGTCCTTTGTAGCTACTAGTCCTTTGTGAACAAATCCACTACTGTCTCCTTTGTATTAACTTATCCAGGACTCCAGATCTGAGTCCCCTTTGTATTGATTGACTAGCTGTCTGAAGGCTCAGAGTCTTACCTTTGTGAATCAGAACTAGAGTCTAGAACCTAACTAGTCTGAGTTGAGTGACCAAGACTATTGTGTGGGCAATGATGACATAATTGAAGGAGATTCTGTGTTATCCAAATAAGATTACTACATAGTTACATATATGATATGCACTGTTCCTCCCGCATCGCTGCGGCGCGGCTGTGCGTGGTGTTAATCCAATTACTGTACCCATCTGTATGGGTACAACCAGGCAGAGTGCGTTACCGGTGGAAATTGGAAACCTAACTATGTGGACGCGTTACAGTTGCTAATACAGACAACCAGACGGACGTTGCCGGAAGTTACTATACTACATTAGTATTAGTATATAAATTCAATCGTAACAATCCAATAAGCTTTTCAAATTTTCTAACACTTGTAGTATACAAAAGTAACAAAACTACACTTGAATTGTCTTATATAATATAATGCTCGCTTAAAACTATGTAACGCTCCTTAAGGGAAAGCAACTACTGCTATGCGTTACGCGTTACTGCTACATCCTTTAAACACAACCGTTCCTTTAAACAGACTGTAATATCTTACTCAAATCTTAATATTATTTTATGAAAATTTAATACAAGGTATTACTATATGACCCGAATGTATATATAAGATTTGAGAGAAATTGAGCAAGAAATAAAATTAAGAAAAATCAGACAGTTAAAGAATTTAGTAAAATTGTCCTGTAGTAAACTTTGCAAATTTTCTGGTGATATTTCTATTAATCCAATCAAGTTGAAATTTTGCATATATGATTATTAGTATCCAAAATATACAATTCTGCAGTTTTTATTTTAATACACTGAGTTGTACAATTTATTAAAAGTAAACATTAAGAAAAGTCAAGAAAGCGTGACAGAAAGAGAAATGATCGACACAATGATGTAATTTGCCAAACCTTTGTGTGAGAATTGTGTCAGAGCATTTGCCATACCCTTGCTAATAAATTAGTGTTTTTTTACTCTTTTTTTCTGCTTGCTCACTCTCTATTCTGCTTAGTACACTATAGTCAAGCATGCTAAGTTTAAATCTCTAAAAAAAGGGAGGAATTGGAGGAAAGGGAGAGGAATATGAGTCAAGCACATTAGGAAAAAGCTACATTACTTATAATGTATTATAGACTTTGTAAAGTATAATGTAAGTATTGTATATATATTGTAATAAAATTATAAAGATCTTACAGTTATTTGCAATATATATACAATACTTATATTACTTTTACAAAGTCCACAATGTATTACTATGAATCTGACTTTTTCCTAATACAGTTGAGACTTATTAGTTGGACTAAAAAAAGTCCCAGAGAGAGTGTCTAGGACTAAGAGGAGTGGCTAGTATGTTTAAAGGGGTTACAGTTGGAACATTAAGGAATAGGGCAGCTGGAATAAAGTCTATCCTAGAGTTTAATACTTTAAAATGCTGTTTAATGAAGGAGGACAATCAGACACTGACAGAACTTATTTGGATCTCTTCTAATCAAAGCTGCCTATTCAGTCATAATGATATTGAAAGGGCAGCTAATTAACTCCTTAAGGCATGATATGGTACAAGTTACAAGTCTGTAGGACCTACATTTGTTTAGAGATTCCTAGAGTATTATTATACTAAGCTAAAAACTTACTAGATTTCTCATCTTAATACACAATAAGTAAATAGTCTAAATCTAACAGCTGTTAGTAAATGGTTTAACATTCTGGAGGAGGAAACTGTAAGATCTTTATAATTTTATTACAATATATATACAATACTTACATTATACTTTACAAAGTCTACAATACATTATAAGTAATGTGACTTTTTCCTGATAGAGTCACAGGAGTGAATAGAAATAAGCTAGCAGCTTTCAAGAGGAGGAAATTTTGTACAGAGAGAGACAGGGGCCTAGGAGGAGCTGGTAGGATAGTTGGAGTGTGCCAGTATGACAAGAGTCACAGTCTGTTCAAAGGAGCACTTTTTGTGACATTTCCCTCATTTTTTCTTGTCTCTCTATTAATTTTTTGAGGCACTCTATACTTGTATAATTTTTACATAGTATACTAATCATAGTATCACACTCACACAACACATACATTCTAATACATTCTGATCAGAAGGGCTCAGTTGTATCAAAGTTACATTATCCTCATGTTAGCAAACGTGATGCAATACTAAATATAGACAATGTACTTATATCTTGTACATCTCACCTGAGTCACCATTTATTTAATAAAACAAACACGTTATCATACACTATCGCTAGTACACATCAAGATTCGTTAGTCGGCTGGGGTATACCACTCCTCCCGCAAACGGCGGGATGTACGTCTGTCTCATTTATTATCAATCAAGTCTTCACAGTTCGCCCTCGTCATCGTCCCATTCTGCACCTTCCATGGCTTCCAGTAACGCCTCTCCTTCGATATGCAATTTGTCCAAGCCAGTTAACTTCTCCAGGTACTTTGTATCATTGAAAGCGTTCAGAAACATGTCAAACCCCTCCTTCTCATATGCTTGCAGGACCTGGATTGCCAAAGCAACCGAACAAAAGCGCGATGAAAAAGATTGTAAGATAGAAGCAAGGAGGAAGAGAACATACCGCTTCACTGCACCCCGTGCATCTCTCATATGCAGCCCCAACGATAGGTAAGGTTCTAAACTGTGCGAGGAATCCGCGCAACTGGTGTGGCACTACACCCAGCACGCCTTTAAATCCACTCTTCTCAGCAGCCTCGTCGTCATAATCCTTTGAGAGGTAATCTGGCGATGGAGCAGGAGCATGGACACTTTCAAAAATGTCAGTATATGTTATTCAGAGACGTCTATTCAGCTCATACCCTGCAGGATGCTGTAAGACAGAAACAAGCAATTCAACCGCCGAAGCAGATGCTATTGCGGCCAACCCTGGCCGGGTCACAGTGCACATTTGATCCAGAGTGCGATCCGTCAGAGACTAACGATGAAGTTAGAATCGACTCGTGACTAAGTGAAGAAACCGGAAAAGCAAAAGCGTACGTCTGCAGGTGCAACAACATCGTTGCAGTAATAACATCCGAGATTCGGCGTCGCAGTTGAAGCTGTAGAGGAGCGAGCTCCATGACGCATGACAAGATAAGAATCAAACCCAAGGGCAGCGTTCAGCACAATCTAAAACCCCGTTTTAATAATAAAGGTGTCGCAGATGGGAGCACTTCCGTACCTTTCCCTTCGCTTTTCCTATTACTGTCGGCAACCATCGGCTCTCTCTCGAGTCCATTAACAAAAAGGTTGCATCATGTTCCGCAATAAGTGTCTCGAGCTGGGCAATATCTTGCCGTACTTGCTCGGTACTTTGTGGTGGAACAGGATGGCCGGGCATAGGTACCGATAGCATAATCCCTTTAGCGTTGACACCTGGAAAGATTCGTCTAACCGCGTTAGCCGCGCATGCAGCCTTCGGCTTTCCTCCTTCTAAACAGTCCTCAAATTCAAAAAGGGGCTGCCGTACAGGATTGCTGAATGCGACAACTCCGGAATCGATGAAAGTTATATCGCGTACGCCCCACCCAAGCAGGACACGCGCGACGTAGCATCCTAATGTTCCAGCACCTAAAAGTAGACAACGCGTTCCCGCTATGCGCTCGAGGTCAAGCGCGGGAAGAATGCGCCAGCGCATGAGCTTGAGGTTCAGATCAACTGCCTGAGCGGCAAGTTGTCTCGGGTCGAGCATGGGTGCAAGATCCGCGAGGCGTGCGCCTAGCTTTCCGGACGTATTCTTCTCCCAGCCTACAGCACTAGGTCTTTCCGTCGATTCTGACGCAGGACATTCAACTACTCCGAACCGGCTGCGCGACGGTACACCATCGCGAGGCTTTTCTGTATCTCGCCAGCAAAGTACACGTACTGTTGCGGCACCTTTGGTCAGAAAGCGTTCGCGGAGATGGGCAAGCACATTGCGCAATGGCCAGCCTGGATGCTCTGGGCTTGCGGACGGGTCGAGAAAGCAAACGAGCTGTTGCGAGGGTGGAATGTCTTCGAAGAAAGTCGAAAATTCAGACAACGGAGCAGTCTCATATTCGTTTCCTGAAGGCCGAGCCAAGAAGAATGGAAGAGGATTGGACGGCAGCTTAGAATGGATTGACGCGAGTATGGAAACACCAAGGACGTCTGAAGCGGATTGCCATCCAGGTTCAGTGATAGACCAAGCTGGTTTTGCCACAAGAGCCGGGAAAGCAAACCAGTAGTAGTACTTGTACTTCTTAAGATCCGCGAAGGTAATCAGGAGAAATCTATTCAATACGCTGGAGTCCCCGGTATCCCTGATTGCGTTCCATATCTATAAGATTCTTATCAATAAGTGCACTTGGACTCTAAATAGTTCAAGGGCTATTGCAAGACTTCCTGGCGCGTGCACGCGAACAAAAGCCTCTCCGATTATGAGGAACAAAGAATGTCCACAATAAATGTGTCGGTAATTATGCCAAAGCAATGTAGCCGGGACAGGGCATTATCTGGCGGTTCTCGACCGTCGACACAAATGGGACAAGATATATGCGCATATTCTAGCAGCAGTACGTACCTCGTCGGCGACCTGATTAAAGAGTGCAGATTTATCTGCAGCCCTAAAGTCCTCAATTGTGTTGAAGTTCTTGAAGGTCCCGGTGCAGCGAATGGAATGCTGTAGGGGTCTGGGATTAGTCAATATCAAGGAGACAACGTCGAAGATCGCTCCATGCTCACTTTGCGTCGACATCAAACGCATCTCCACCGAGGGTTATATGACATCCGAGGTCGACCTCTTTTCCCGTTTCTCTGTCAGTGATGGAACGGCCGACGGCGTAAGTTGCTGAGATTGGTAGTGAGTGTTCAGCGAGGCGGAGAACATCAACCTTAAGGCGGGTAAGTTCATGCCAGAACTCGGGCTGGACGAGCGAGGAGAACGGGGTAAACTGCACGATGGTATTCTTATGTGCCGTCATCGCAGTACTAGCTAGAGCCGACGGACGATAGGAGATGCTACGTTAGTACGTATTGCTACTTACTACTGCTGTTGTTATCGTCTGCTTATGTGCGACGTGCACGTGCATCTTCGTCACGTGAGAAATTTGGCGACGGACAGGCGAGTTCAGCGACGCCATTGCCATTGTCGAAGACTATTCACAGCACGTCTTAACGCATCTTTGGGATGGTGAGTACTCCAATTCATGCTGTCGAAGAGTCCCTGGCAACTCTATGTCTACCTCTTGATGTCTTTCGGACGGTGCATTGGGTGTTTGTTGGTTGGATTGGGTCGGTTTGTATCGGATGGACATCTACTGGCGGGAAACGCACATTCTCTTCATAACCCCCTCATCTCACTCCAGGCTCAATGCTGATCAACGATCTCTTTTTAAAGGCATCCGTAGATCTAGCTACTTCGTACGCTGCGCTCATCCTTGCCGATGATGGCATCGAAATCACCGTACGTCTTAGGCTCGATTCGACACCAAAGGGGAACCACTTTGACTAAGTCTCGTACAGGCAGATAAGATTTTAGCATTAACGAATGCGGCATCCGTTGAAGTAGAACCGATCTGGGCATCACTACTTGCGAAAGCCCTTGAAGGCAAAGACGTTAAGGACCTATTATCCAATATCGGTTCAGGAGCTGCTGCACCAGTTGCTGCTTCCGCTGCTGGTGGTGCAGCGGCTGGAGGCGCCGCGGCAGAAGCGCCGAAAGAGGAGGAAAAGAAGAAGGAGGAAGAGAAGGAAGAAAGTGACGAGGATATGGTGTGTCACTTCCTCATTTACCATGCTCACAACCAGGTATTGACAAATGTTCGTAAAGGGCTTTGGTCTTTTCGACTAGTCTTACCATTTTCTTTGCGTCGCGTGTCTTTACTTTCTCCAGTTATTCTATTTCCTGCATTTTTGCATCATCCTTAAAACTCCCTTTCATTATGCCTTGCGCTATGCTGTACTCATCCGTGACGCACATTAGCAATAAAAATGTCAAGCTTATGCTCAAACTCAACACGCTCCATAGAAGGAATGAATGACGGTAGCACTTGGTGTCCGAAACGTACGGATTTCTTCTGGTTTCTTTAGCTTAGATCTTGTCCCAGTCCGTGGATGTGATCGTTCAGGACCCGCCAATGCCCACTGATGTCCTCACCAGGACCACAGCAAGAAATACCATCGTTAGTACCTGGTAGCCGACTTCTCTTGGATCATCCCTTCTTCCGCGCGCGATCCGCTCTTTGCGCGCCCCCCCGCATCCTGTTTTGCATCTGTAGACGACCGTTGTGGCGTACGAGGCGAAACCCAAACCGATCATCTTTGCGTCAATTCAATGATCAGAAGTCCCGCTCATAGCACACTTTGCGCTGATAATGAAGTCCAGATTTGGCCTGGCGTACTCTTAGGTATCCATTCTGGGGCGTCCCCCCTGATGTTCATTTCTCCGCATTTTTGTAACGACCTGTTACATGCACTTTGCGCCGTCTTCGAAGCATAAATATACACTCCCCCGTCTGTGCCGCGCAATCAAAGATTTGCTCGTTTCTCACCATGTCACAGAAGCTGCAGAAGGATGATAGCAATGAAAGGCCATTCTCAAGGCGAATCAGCAGCTACAACTTTCACAGAATTCATAGTTTCAAGGACCTCACCGCACTCAGAAAAAGCTCGGATTCAAACCCGGGTTCTCGTAAATCTAGCTCAGCCGATCTCCTAGAGTTAGCAAAAAGATCGGAAGGATGGAAACCCGAAACTGTGGAAGAGGACTGGCAAGAAGCTAGTGAGTATAGTGAAGCAGGGTTGTTCAAGCCATTGATCAAAGGTGAGAGTAATGGAACCAGATTCCGGCTAGCTCGTGTACTGACTTGAAACGGGAATCCGCCTCAATTGTCGCTGAACAAACCAGCACTCAATAAGCACGGCTATGAGGGAGCAATCGTTACTTACCGGAGAAAAGAAGCTGATCTAACAGCAGGCATAAAAGGTGTGGATAATTCTATTCTGTATATGACGATGGGACCTTACCGATATTTATTCATTAGTGGAGCACTGGAAAAGAACCGTACGCATTATAGGCAAGGAGTGGCAAAGTCTAGAAGATGTTCTGAGACTGGTGCAACTCGAGATGGACTTCGTCTACCTAGATCCACAAAAGCATTTGAGCGGAGGAGCCATTGAACTCTACACTTGTACGACTTTTTCTCTGCCGCAGTCTCTCTGCGAACTCATACTTAGATTCATTTAGGGTTATTAAAGCCCGAATTTGGGCAAAGCTCCCAAGAGATATTCGAGTTTAGCAACGAAGACTTGAAGGACGACAAGCCGAAAGTGTATTTTAAACCACACGGAAGCCACGACGAAGTCGTCTTAAAAGGTTTGTACCTTCGTTCCTGTCCTATCACGATGACATTTAATGATGTCCTTCTTGCGGTTCAGTCGAGTTTAATAAAGAAGAAAACAAAGGCAGAGAGTGGACAGTGATAGGAAAAAATCGCGAAAAAGCTATTGAAAAGATGCTAGCACATCTTCACTTTGTAGAACTTATACGAGGCCAGCCAAGCTGGGTAGAAGGGAGAACTTGGGACGAGCTATTTGACCGTATGTTCTTTTTCTCCACTTCGGGCTACACGTCGCAAGAGCAATCTATTTATAACATCCTATTTATTAGTTCGGGACGAAAGTTACCCAGGTTCTAAACTATTCTGTAAAAGATACAAATTTGTAAAGCCTGATAGATCTGAAGGGGAGCTCTGGACAATTAAACGTATGTTTTTTGATATTCGGGTTCTTCCTACAATTAGTCTCTCTAACAGTAACTGACTTGCCTGAGGCAGTTGCGAATTCAAGTGACGGTGATATTCAGAAAGCACGCGATTCGACAAAAGAAAAAGCTGCTCAAAAACTCCTGAGAAAACTAAAGGATTATCAATTTCAATATAAGACCCAACCACATTTTGACATACAAGACGTGGATTATTTTAAGGCCGATGACGAAGCTCCAGATGGAGACCAGCATGACAAAAGCAAAACTCCCCACTGGACAGCTCTTGATAGGAAAAGAGATAAAAATATTCATAATGGCGTATTCGTACCTCTATTTGACGGTAATTATCCGATATTACTACTACTATAAAGATATGTTGAGGAAAGATCACTTACTTCATGTGACTCGTAGAAATGCGAACAAGGAAGAAGAATGGAACAGTTTTTTATCGTCAAGACGAAGAATTATTCTGGTACTTAAAATGTTAGCTTCGTCACTTTTACTTTCCTGGTATGGGCTAAAGGGATATGTCGATATTAGATGAAGAACCAGATCCTACCGATCCTAAACACAAACCCCCATATACTGTAATAAGAAAAGCAAACACTCTTAAATTTGCCGTCTTTAGAATGATACAGGTCCTTCAAGAAACAAAGGTGGACCTCGACAAAGATGAATCATTTGCATCAATCAATCGTAGTAAGTAATGGTGATAGTTTGTTGTTGCTGTACAGCTTAGTACTATAAATGACAGTAATAAAAATCAATAATAAATTGTACAAAAGAGCTTTTCCTAAGGCATTTATACAAAACAAAAAAGTTTATCATCAAGTAGACATTCCAAGACAGGCCCAGTACAATCAAGGCACTATACACTATATTAAAAGTAAATCCCTGAAACAAAACATGATTATAATGATTTCTAAAAGTCTTTATAGTTGATCACTCATTCTGGGGTTGGATAGAATTTGCAAAAAGCAAGCATAAAGCAATAGACCAGATGGCAACCCATTTAACTTATATGCCAGTCACTGAAGAGTCCTTTAAATATTTATTTGGAAGGGAATTTAACAATAAGGAAGATGAATGGAATGGGCTATTTAGAGGTATAATAATATTTCTTAATATATTAGACTACACACTTAAATATATCTCTAGAAATAAAACATTATAGAAATGGCAGACTTTTCTATAAAGGACCTCAGAAGTCTGAAAATCAAAATCATTGTTTTAAGTGTTAGTATCTAATTTACTAAATATTAGTATGTTAAAATACTAATATAAAAAAGTTGCAAATCCCTATTCAGGAGAAATTGCAAGTGTTGAGAAATCAAGCCCAAATATTCTTAACATTGTAGAAGAATTAACACATAAATTGAAGTCAAGTTTGGGCCATAAAAGAGAAAAGACAACACCTCAGACTTTCTCTTTAGAAGCTACTAATGATGATGAAAGAGAAGACATTATTAAATATGAAATAACAGAAGAAACAGTAAAAGCTAAACCACAATTCAAGAAACTGTTTGCATGTATGTTTAAAACTATATAAAAAATGCTTATTTACTGATTTTCAAGCATAACAGCTGTGAAGAAATTTAATAAACATGTAGCTGAAGATCAAGATGGAAAACCAACTGGAAAGAAAGCTAAAATATTTTGTACTGAGAAAGGACATTCTTTTTACAAGTTAACTACTGTTGAAGGTAAGCTATATTGAAACTGTCAATTAATGTTTATATAATCCGAGTTAACTTTACATAGTTATTCTTATAAGTGAGGATGGTAAAGAAGAAGTATTAGCATCAGAAATCAAGTATAATGTTCAATCTGCAATTTCATCCGTTTTATATAGCTTTCAGTTTGAGGAGGTTACAGAAGATAATGAGAATTACTATTATATCTTCAAATGTAAACTAACCTTTTACATTTATATGTCTATCTAAACCTTCTTATTTAACAGGTTTGAAGAATAAGTTCAATAATCAACAGTTCAAAGTAGAAAGAAAGAAGGATAAAACGAAAGAGTTCAAATATTATATATGCTGGGTTGTAAGAGGTAATCCTACTATAAGCGGTTCTGACAATAATGTCTAACTTACGACTCATAACATAGTTACATGTCGAGCTGCTGATTTTGTGTTTCAAGTCTACGGAAGGGAAGAAAGAGAAGCAATTAGAGAGATGGAAAAGTTACTAAGTTATGAACTAGTTGAACAGGTGTCATCCTCTGCATATGGTGATTGTAGGCTATTTTACAAAACAAAAAACAAAAAACATAAGTATAAAGGTATATCTGTCTTTCATATTAGGAATCAGGTAATATTTATGCGGGTTTCCAGTTATCCATCCGATATGGGGTGTTCAGCTTGAAGCAGAAGAAAGTACAAAAGACAAAGCACGTCAAGCTATATTAAATGCAATAGAACAAAATACCAGTACAGCAAAAGTAAACTTTATATTTGATAAAACGTACATGAAGCATCCTAGAGAACATGGCTATACAGACGTGAAGTGGATAAAATATACAGAGAACTGTGAAGAAAGGAGCACGCTTCATGGACTGGAAAAAGGTATGTCTATTACATTTGATCTCAAAAGTATATTAACTTTGAAAATAAATCAACAGCGCTTAGAGGTGTTACGGGCGCAGAATTATTTTATTGCCAGAGTCCTAAAGGAGTGAAAGGTGTTTCAGTTACTGGAAATAGATGTCTTCGCTTTTCTTATAGCTTGATTTTGATCAGTTACGACTGAAAGATTCGTATATGAAAAAACCGTTCAAAGAGGAAACCTATCGGATCTAGCCAAAGAGGCCATCCCAGCGATTAAATTTACGGAGCTAGACGCTGAGACATATAAAGGTGATAATCAAACTGCTGTTGAGGAGAAAATCGCCAAATTACGTCAATGTATGTACTATCTGCATTCACTGTAAGATCTTCTACTATCTAATTCCGAATCTCTTCAAAACATGTAGGCATTCAAACATTAACAAATATTGCTTGCAGCCGGTATTCTTGGCTCTCTGAATCTGAGAAACATGCTTTACGGGCTGAAAAACCCGTCATATTCAAAAGAGAGCTTGATAACAAGACAGAATGTCCCTCGTTGGATGTTCCACCGAATGAACCATGGAAAGATAAGCTCCGCTGGCACGATAGAGGCGTCGGCTGGGTTAGAATGGAAAAGGGACGGAAGGATAAGGGTTATGTTGTAAAGGGTGTGTTTATAGTATTTTACCTTTTCAACGTGCTTTTCCACTAACAGACATGTAGTTGTCCATTCGATGTTTGGGTTTGCAAAATGTGGTGCAACGATCGAGGATGCATTACGAAGGTTGATTGATCATTATCACTATACCGAAGTTTCGCTTAGTACCATTGATGAACTTGATGAATTCAAGAATAAAGTCATATGGAAGGTAAAGATATTGGAATATAAGGGTTTTGGACAGTGTCGGTTCTTCTTCAAGAAGAAGGGCTTCACGCAAAGACATGGCAGGGAGGCGACCACGTCCACGCATTCGAGTCGGAGACAGAACCTCTCTGCCGCAATGGCCTCGCCAAATGATATGACGGAGGCCACGGTTACTATTAAAGGTGAGAGTGTTTCACAGTGTTTCCGATGAGAAGCTACGTTCTCTAATATGGTGGAGAAGTCGACCACGAGGTCAAGGGGATCCAGTACAAGGTGGTTGAGACGAGCAACACTGAGGAAGGGCTTGCAGACAAGGCTACTGAAAGGCTCGCTAAGTTGTTGGGTGACGATGCAGCTGCTAGGAAACAGGGAAATGCCTTTGCTTTTGACGAAAGTATTCCACGTTGGTGAGTTTATCCGTTTTGCCAGCTGAGCTGTTGACAGAGATGCTCATCCACATATCCAGGGCGGAATTTCTTTGCTGGAAACCGCGTTCCAGAGTCAGCCATACGAGTAGTACTAGTACTAGTAGCACGAGTAAAAGTGTTGCGCGACAGAGCAGCACTGGTACCAGCACTACCAATGCTAGCAGCACCAGCCATTCCAGGAGGACGGAGTAAAAGGGCTCGGTGAGAGTAGTTAGGTGTTGGATGTAATAACTTAAATAAGCATACAAAACAAATATAATAACTACAGTGTGAGACTGTGAGTGTTTTTTCCTGAAGATTCGACGGGTTATGTAAGCCGAGAATATTTCTTGACGTGGACGCTGGTTTTTTCGTCCGTTCGTCCCTTGTCCTCCTTCTCCCTCCTGCTCCTGCTGGTCCTTGTCCTTTCCTCTGTTCGTCATGCATCATCTTGGTCGCTCTTCCTCTGCAGCTGTCCGCCGTGCGGCAAAGACCCCCAAGGCCGTCTTAGCTCGCGGTGCTCATAAGGAAATCAAGTTCTCCAACGACGGCAGAGCCTCTATCCTTGCTGGCGTTGACGTCCTTGCCAAGGCGGTCAGTGTCACGCTGGGCCCAAAAGGTAGGGTGTTCCTTGTTATCTCATCAATCGTTTCTAAGTCTTTCCCCTCTTTTTGCTTGCCTTTTGCAGGTCGGAATGTGATTATTGAGCAATCCTTCGGTGGTCCAAAAATCACCAAGGGTATGTCCTCTCGAATTTTGCTGCCCGAAGGGGCTCTCATCACAAGTTATCATTAGATGGTGTCACTGTTGCCAAGTCCATTTCGCTGAAGGACAAGTTCGAGAATCTTGGTGCGCGGTAAGCCATGGCTCTTGGTACATGCGCTAACATTGGCGTGACTGATTTCGTCATTGTAATTCTGTAGTCTCGTACAAGACGTCGCGCAGAAGACGAACGAGACTGCTGGTGACGGAACGACAACCGCAACCGTCCTTGCTCGTGCGATCTATGCAGAAGGCGTGAAGAACGTCGCTGCTGGCTGCAATCCGATGGATCTTCGTCGAGGTGCTCAGGCGGCTGTTGACCGCGTAGTTGACTTCCTGTCAAAGAACACGAAAGACATTACGACGACAGAGGAAATTGCACAAGTTGCAACTATTTCTGCGAATGGTGATACGCATATTGGCAATCTCATCGCGACAGCCATGGAGAAGGTTGGCAAAGAGGGAGTTATCACAGTCAAGGAAGGGCGTACGATTGAGGATGAGATTGAAATTACGGAGGGAATGCGTTTTGACCGGGGTTACATTTCACCATATTTCATCACGGATGTCAAGAGCCAGAAGGTCGAGTTCGAGAAACCGCTTATCTTGTTGTCCGAGAAGAAGATCTCGGTGTTACAGGACATCCTACCTTCGCTTGAAGCAGCTGCGCAGGCTCGTCGTCCGCTTCTCATTATTGCTGAAGACGTCGACGGGGAGGCACTAGCGGCATGCATACTGAACAAGCTCCGTGGTCAGCTCCAGGTGGCCGCAGTCAAGGCTCCTGGTTTTGGTGACAATCGGAAGAGCATTCTTGGTGACCTTGCAATCCTCACTGGTGGTACCGTCTTTACCGACGAGCTTGACATAAAGCTTGATCGCGCAACACCAGATTTACTTGGTTCGACTGGGTCTGTGACGGTCACGAAGGAGGACACCATTTTCCTCAACGGTGAAGGTTCAAAAGATGCTATCCAGGCGCGCTGTGAACAGATTCGCTCTGCACTGAACGACCCGACGACAAGCGAATATGATAAGACTAAGCTCCAGGAGCGACTTGCGAAGCTCTCTGGTGGAGTCGCTGTAATTAAAGTAGGTGGTTCGAGCGAAGTTGAGGTAGGGGAAAAGAAGGACCGTTACGATGATGCGCTCAATGCTACTCGTGCGGCTGTTGAGGAAGGAATTCTGCCGGGTGGGGGTGTTGCTCTGCTCAAGGCATCACTTTCACTTCCGACCAGTGGAGACTCCAACGCAGCTTCGTCGTCCTCCGAGCCTATCCCTACTGCAAACTTTGACCAAGAGCTCGGAGTCTCGATTATTCGTCGCGCTCTGAGCCAGCCTGCACGCACAATCCTCACAAATGCAGGCGAGGAGGCATCTGTAATTGTTGGAACCCTCGTTTCGCAGCACGGTGCACCAGAGCAATTTGCGCAGGGCTATGACGCGAGTAAAGGTCAATACGTTGACATGATCAAGGCTGGTATTGTCGATCCACTCAAGGTTGTTCGAACGGCACTCGTCGACGCTGCTGGTGTTGCCAGCTTACTCACGACGAGTGAGGCATGCATTGTCGAGGCTGAAGAAAAGGACAAGCCTGTACCTGGTGGTATGGGCGGCATGGGCGGCATGGGTGGTATGGGTGGTTTCTGAGTAGATTCATCTGTTGACGTCTCTTGCATTTATTTTCTTTATATGGCTTTCATGACGAGAAAAGTACCTTCTCATGTAGACGAGCTGGCGTATTTTTTGTTAGCTCGTCTTCTACGTGATGTTTTAGTTTACAGCCCCTTTCTGTCCCCTAGCATTAGTCACATCCTTTCGCATCTATGTAGACCTCATAATGCACATCAATCCCCACTCCATCAGTTCAGTAAAACAGGTTGCTTTGAGTATTGAATAGATGACAACCTGAAGTAGTGCCACATACGATTTGGAGTCATTCACGTCCAAGCTTGAGAAACGGGAAGTCAATTTTTGCTAAGCAATCACCGTTGTTTCCTGTTGTTCAATCATGAGTTTAGAGTGACTTAGAAGCGAAGGTACAAGTACGTCTGATTTTCATTAGATGCAAAGTAGGAATAGCAATCCGAAGTGCATGAGGGTAAAGAACTCGGCTGTGTTCCTGGGCAGTATTCAGATGTATTGTAGCAAGAAGCGACGCAGACAGTCCCAAGTCAAGTGGTCCCCAGTGAGTTGAGAGTCTGAAGCGTGGACCTAGGAATTTTCACTCGTCTACTGACCCCAAGCCTGTGAAGTCGACCAAATTTTTCCAGATGTCTACAGCTCTACGGCCTGGAGCAATCAAGGTAAAAGAACAGGATATATTTAAATGTATTAAGTATGCATGACGATGACGAAAGCCTTATAGTTATACGTTCGTCATAATGCCTGTGTGTATAAAAATGTCAGATACAAAAAGTTTGCAACCTTACACAATCGTCGTAACACACCTTCGGCGCCAAGCTAAGCACCTTTCCCCAACCCTTCGTTCGAAGCTCAGCGCTCACAGGACCACCAATTCGCGTACCAAGCATCTCTTTTTTGCTATTCAATAGCACACACGCGTTGTCGTCGAACTTGACGATCCGGCCGTCGGGGCGAGGGGCGGGCTTTTTCGTGCGAACGATGAGTGCACGGCGGACATCCCCTTTTTTCACTCTAACTGCGGTGGAGGAGAGGAGTGCAGATGCGGGGATAGGTCTGGCGCGTTTGACGACGCAGACGATCTCGTCTCCGACACCGCCTGAGCCGTGATTGACTTTGTGCTTGAGGACGTTGACGCACTCGACGATTAGTGCGCCTGAGTTGTCTATGACCTATGGGAGATTGAGAGCGTGCTTATCGAGACATTATTGAACACGTACGTTGAGAGTGCCCTTGAGGCTGATCATTGCCTGCAGGATTTTTGTTGGACTCTGGAGACTGGAGACTGGAATCAATGGATGTCGTTGAAGGTAACTTATAGGCCACGTGACTGAACAAAGGTCATGCAACTTTCAGTGTTTCAACCCGCTTTCAACATTGAATCAACAAGCATATACAACAGCCTGAGGGGTGCATGCCCATAATCCATACTATACATCTGTACTACGTCTGTCCTATTTGTATACTTACTTCTCAAAAACCAATCGATTCTTCCTTTCCCAGTCCTTGATTTCATTCTGATTCCGCTCCTCCTTAAGGACTAGAAAACCCTCCTGTCGACAACGAAGGGGGAAGGGCATTGGGTCCATTGCCACACGTGTTATTAATGTTGCTTGACAACTGTAGTTCGATCGTAGATCCATTTTCGAACACGTCAAAGTCCAAATAACAATTTGACTTGTACCTCTCGCCATTCACTTTGACGCTCTAAATGCGCCAGTTTTGTCAATTGATACTGAGCGATTGGAGTATGTAAGACCGTACTGACCTCGACGAAGACATTACCGCCCGTCCCATCTGATGGATTACCACGGAAGCCGTTTGCGATGATAGTTGTCGTGGAGTTAAACAGTGGATTGAAAAATGAGACTTGCGGGAAGTAGGGAGACGAGAGGAGATATTGTCGCGTTGCAGGAATAGGATATAGTCCAGCTAAATAGAAGAAGACATAACTCGCCATAGCTCCTGAGTCTAAGGTCGGGATTTGTATCAGAAGCTTGCTAAAGTGAAACTAAAATGCGACCTCACGTACCATCGTTTCCCGGTAATCCGTTAACAGACGTATTGAAATCTGATGCAATGACTTGACGAGATCTCTGCGTGCTTAATCCAGGTCTGTTGGCATAATGGTACATGAAAGGAATCTGTTGAGATGGTTCGTCCGTCGCATCAAAGTAGTGCTTTGGCGAGAAGCAGTTAACTCCAGACCATGCAAAGGACAAGATTACGCTCACTTCATCAAAAATAAAATTCAGGCGCGAAACGAATGATTCGTTTCCGCCTTGCAATTCGATGAGCCGTGCTGTGTCATGCGGAACAAACTAAGGCCGTTTAGTAGAGGCCCCGAGTCATTCTGAAGAAGATCTTACTTGGGAGTACTACAACGGCGTCAATCAAGGATTAGGATTGGAATAACGCTTTAAGTAATTTTGCTCACAACGATAGGAGACGATTCATAGAATCCATCGCGGTTCGCGGCATTCAAGAAGCATGTTGAGTGGAGCGGATCGTTCACGCTACAATGACGCGGATCCGTATGATTGAAGGTCCCGTTTGCAAAACGTGGCTATGGAGATGGTAATAGTTCCATATTATTGGACATACATGGAGTGAAAATAGTATAGTACCTGCACCATGCCCTTCACGAAGTCAGGTCCTCCAGGAACGGTGGTATTCGGGTTCCATACATTGAAGAAGTTGCCCGACCTGTTTTGGTACTGTTGTTGGCTTAGTGACTGACTCGGAAATCTTTCACAAGGTGTTAATAACTGACCTTTACAACGTCGTCCGATTTACCCAAGAGTTGTGCGACTTGCGAAATGGCAAAATCACCAAATGCATGCTATTTAATTCCAGGACTAAGGAACAGACGGTTCCCTGTTAGAACTAGAAAACATACTTCGAGTGTTCGTGAAACCTGCTTAGTATTCGTGCCGCTCATTTCGAATATGTCACCCGGGATATATCCTTAACAACAGTCAACCTGAATACCAAACTACGACAATATTATACAAACCAAGCATCTTCCAGATGTTAGCCTGACGACCCTGCAAGTCCCAGTTTGGAGGCTGATCCTCGGCGTCGGCCAGCAGGGCATTGTATAAATCCGTTGCCGAAACGTTCAACGAATCCGAGAAGTTATGAAACCTAAATCAATCAGACCTTTGCTCATGTAAACGAGGAATCAAGGGCCAACTTTACAAAGAATTCTCCAAGTATAGGATCAGCATCTAAGAATACCATATGTGAATAATTAGCCACAGCCACTGAAGGTTCGGAAACATGTACTACTTCCTCCTTGGATAAAATGTTGCGCAGTAGCACCGCGGCATTCCGGAAGCCATCCTATTATCGCGTTGGTCTACGTCCGAGTCGTTGAACTTTTCTGGGACAAACCTTCATGCTGTTGGATATTTATCTGGCCTCGAACAATACGAGCAAAATTTTCTGGGTCATGGAGAGAATAGAGAGGATAAAGTGTGCGGAAAGTGTCCCACTAGGGCCGGGTTAGTCAACAGAGTGTTTGTGTTGATGAATAGACTTCTATTTACATTGCAGTAAAGTGAGTCATAATACGGCTCGGTAGAGTTCCATTTCGGGTTCTCTCCAGTGTCTGAGTCGGAGTGTCAAAGGAATCCTTGCGTACAAATGAACTAAGTACACTCACAATCCGCAGGTGAGATATGTGTCCGATATAGCTAGAACCCAAGTTGTTGACTTTCTTTCCTTAAGGAAAAATAATCAACCTACGGAAGAGTAAAGGAGTTCAACAGTTTCGTCATCCACGTCAGTGGTATTGACCTGAACTCGATTAAGGATATCTTTCCATTGTGACTGACTAGCAGCGACAGTCTCATCAAAGTTGAAGTCAGGTATTTCCGACTCAGCATTCGCACACGCTTGGTCTGTGGAGATGAAAGATACCCCGACCCGTGCGAGGATCGTAGTTGTGGAATCCGGAGATGGATTGGGCGGGAAAGTGAGCAAGGCACCAAGCTCCGACACGAATCCTTCGTCACTGAGATTAGCTGCCTTATCTCGATTAGAATGGCGGAAATACAAACCGAAATAAACTTGGTTTAGGTTTGTCGCGAATCGAACAGGAAAGTTTCCAAGCCAGCTTCCATATTCCGTTGGAGCGGTGAAGTTGTAACCATCTCCACGGAAATCAAAGCAAGCAAATACGGAGTATCGGCCGGGGCCAAATGAAGCCGCAAATTCGGCTCCACCTAACGTGCGTTTAGGATCATGCAATATGATTTTTGTATAATATACCATCTCACCGACTACGTGACCGGTATTTGGATCGACAGTCATGAATGGATTAGTATTGCTTTGCTGACCATCGTTTGTTACATCGACGACGAGTCGAGGCTCGGTCGAATTTTGCGGGAATGTATACCGATGTAGGGCAGTCCTTCGCGTGGAGGTAAGCTCGACACGTATGCCAGTAGACTAATCTGACGTTAAAATTTATCGTGATGTAGGCATCGCATAAACGCACCAAGTTTGTAGAAAAGTATCCAGGAGACCCGAAATCATCCGGGGTGCCTATATTAGATTAGAAATATGTTTTGCAAAACAATATGCTTAGTGATACCATCGCCAAGTATTTTCCGTTGAGCCTTCCTTCCATCGATTGATGTCTGGCAGCTTTCAAATGTCGAATTACAGGAAGCAAACGGCCAAAGTTTGAAATTTGATAGAGGAACTCCCTGGAAAGGAATATTAGAAGATATAACCATTTGAGGTAGAGAGTATCGCCTACGCCTCCGGTGCCACTGTCATGTAGCTGAGAGAAGCCGGTTGCGTTAAACGTCGAGTTTGCGTCGTATCCTGCTTGCTGGATTTATTCCAAAGCAAGTCAAGTTATTTCGAGACCAACTTGGGAAGGTTGCTTACGTTATGCTATCACCCGAATTAGTGAAGATCTGCATCACATTTTTGGAGTAGGCAACTTACGGGAGAGTCTGTGTCCATCCCAACCTTGACCATGCCGTGCGGGACAGTCGCTCCTATCATATCACGTTCAGTTATCATTCCAATAAAAAGAGGTATAAATTCAGACCTGGGAATACATTTCCTCCGTTTGTGGTACCAATGAAAACATTTACGAGGGACAACGGATCACTTAGATTGAGGGCACTGCTTCTTGGACCAGAACTAGTGCTGCCTGTCGTTCGTGGAACATGCGCAAACGCATCTCCGGTGTAGGCAAAGAGTAGGAAAGTGCCAGTCAAAATCATTGCAGCGAATTTACTATGTCTTCCAAAGCTGCTGTGGCTTTATGACTAGTTTGCTTTGATCATGTGAGTCCTACTCGGCGTGAACGGGACGCTTCTAATTTGTCTTTCATTTTTCGGAAGCATATTCCCGCCGCTTCTGTGTCAATCAGCTCTAGAACTACTCGAAGAGCACATGCGCTAGTGACACGCGCCCGACTTATTTGATGAAACGATGGCGCTCGTTCAAGCGAGCACGCTTGATAGACTACACGTCCACAAGCTCCTTGTGTTCTCAAGAAGATATGCGCTTAAAAGTTATACATCTCCAGAGTTCTTAGTTTCCAACGAGAAAGCAGTATAAAGAAATATTGCATCCCTTTTAACGGCTGCTTCTGCACTGCCTCGTTCTTGTCTCCAGGTTTCAATGTTGATTTCCTCCTTAGCTTAAGTACAGCAACTGCTTGTCCGACATTTCAGAAGAACAAATCCCAGCCTTGGAATGCACCGTAAAGGGGCCACCTTGGGAGAGCAAATGTTGATGTTGACTTTGATGGCGACTTACGTTTACCTCTACGATCTTTGCAGCCACCAAACAAGCAAAGTACCTTGTACAAGAATAGAACGCAGGTACATGTCAATAATTTTCTTGCCCACAGGTCATACAGCGGCACAGCAGCAGAGAAGGCAGGGCCGAACGTCTCCCGTGTCATTTAGAGCTCCAACCCATGACCTTATTAAAAGCGCACTTCGAGATTCTTTTCCCATCCAGCGGTATTTCAATGATCGGATCCGAGGGCTTCTCAATTCCATCCGTCCAATCCTAAGCAGCATGCATGGCGTGCTTGATGCTATATTAGCTCGAGCAGTGGCTCTTCAGGATAAGTGAATGGATAACTTTAGATCTCCGGTGGAGGCACATATAAAGCGCGCGATGTCGACTCTTATCGCGGTGGACCTTCTTCCTTTCACATAGGTAGTCGACCGCGATGCATGCAACGGGTGAAAAACTGGACAAGAAACGAGCGAGCGTCTCGGAATCTGCGTCGGAGAAGAAGGCAGGACTCGACGAGGCATGGTTGGAAGCAGTCGATTTTGGCGGCGCTTCAAGTTTGCCTCCGCCTCCAGATCTCACAGCGGAAGAGGAGAAACGACTATATAGGAAAATCGACCTTAGGTTGATGCCGATCTTGAGCCTCATGTACCTTTGTTCTTATTTGGATCGAGGTGAGTAAACATGGCCCGGTATTTTCCTTCAGTTGGGACTTATGAATGAACGATTTGCTTAGGAAATATTGGTGCGCGAGTGTTCTATTTATCGTTGACATAATTTAAAAATAAATCCAAGGAAACGCGAAGCTCGCTGGGCTGGTTGAGCAACTCAACTTAACTGGCAACAAATACAATATTGCTCTCGTACGTTACCTCAATAGTCAAATTTCTAGTAGCATTTCTAACTCGAATTCCACTAAAGACGATGTACTTTATTGTGAGCACCATTTTGAACGTGTAAGAATCGTATTGAAATGTTTTTTATAGCCTTATGGCTTGGGGGAATGTCCTGCAAAGTATGTGCAAGAATTGGGACAGACTAAATCTGCATAACTAAACGTATTCGAATTAGTTTGGTGCTAAAGAAATTCAGGCCATCGAGGTGGTTACCTGGGATAACTGTATGCAATTCTTCCATTGCCGCCTTTTTGTTTTACTCATTCATTAAAAGGTCGTGTGGGGTATTGTAATGTAAATCCTCTCACAACATTTTCTTTCGATGTCGCCAATAACCAGCGTTATTTTGAACAGGGCCATGATGGGATTAGTCAAATCGTCGGAGTTCATCGCATTTCGCACATCACATTCTTCTAACTCCATTAATAGCTATCCGCAACTTGTGGTTGTACGGATTTTCCTTGGCTTCGCCGAGGCTGGCTTGTTCCCTGGAGTAGTTTACTAGTAAAGACTTTCATTATCATATTATGGAACACAGGATGAGCTCTGACCCTTCAATTTGACTAGCTTCACATTCTGGTATCCACGTCATATGCTCATGCTCCGTATCGCATATTTTTACGGTGCGGCGACCATTGCTGGCGCGTTTTCAGGTTTACTTGCTTTCGCAATTGAGTTTATGGATGGGGCACACGGCCTGAGAGCCTGGTCATGGATTTTCGTGCGCATTATCAGCTACACTTATAATCCTGCATCTTGGGTTTGATGTATAACAATTCTAGATCCTTGAAGGAATTGCAACTGTCACAGTGGGACTTCTTGCTTTCCTAGGTGAATGGGAATTCCTCTCATTTAAACTTGGACACGCATTTTATCAGTTTTGCTAGTTCTTGTTGACTTCCCAGCCACTGCACACTTTCTTACGCCAGAAGAACGTGCATATGTCATCCACAAGAAAAGTCAGTCTTTCATTTCAGATCGCACCTTGGCGCTGCATTGATGACCGCTTGAAATACAGAATACGACAACACGCAGGTAGGAGAGGCTGAAAAATTCGAGTGGCGGTATGCCTGGGCAGCGCTTAGTGACTGGCAAGTATGGCTGCACTTATTGGTGTACTTTTCTTTCGTCGGCCCCAGTAAGTTCTTATCCATCCTTTTCCGAAGGCAGGGTATGAAAAAATTACCACCCAATAGTTTACGGGATTTCACTGTTCATGCCGTGAGTTCTCGTGCAATATCGTACTCTTGGGATAAAAAATTGATTCGTATCGATTTTGCTCTACCCGACAAAAGCACAATAATTTCCACGTATGTATTCACTCCAGCCATATATTTGAACAATATTCATTATGTTGCACCATCAGGTTCGGATTCAGTGTTCCGATCACTCAATTATTGACAGTTCCACCATATATTGTGGCTAGTAAGGCAATTTAATGTGTGCAATACACCTGGCTAATTGGTGTGCTTGTAACCAGCACTTCTCTTACTCACCTTCGCGTATTTCTCCGATAAGATCAAGATGCGCAGTCCTTTCATCTTGATAGGACTAACAATGATGCTTATTGGATTTACCATCAATATTTCACCAGCGCCTCATGGTGTTAAATATTTTGGCGTTTTTCTCTGTGTCGGGGGCTCGTATTCCGCATTTCCAGCTATAGTTGCTTGGTACGGAGTTGCTTGCGATTACCGAAAATTGGTTGACATAAACGATTGTTGGATGCAGGCTTGGCAACAATCTAGCCGGACAATATAAACGAGGTGTCGGTATGGCGCTGCATATTGGCCTTGGAAACTTCTCTGGAGCAATAGGTTCGTGGCATTGGTGAAGAACCTTGTTTGTGAAATCTAAACATGCCTTAGCGAGCAATATCTACCGGTCGCAGGATGCTCCACGGTATTTAGTCGGTCGTAAGTACACTACACCTACTGGCATTGCAGCTTTGAAGCGGAATGAAATCATAATTACGCATCTAGATGGTGTCGAACTTATGTTCGTTGGGATCGGCTTCGTCTTCGTGCCTCTTCTCGTGTTTCTGTATAACCGGATAAACAAGAAACGGAAGGCAGAGCTTGAGCGCTCTGGTGGAATAAGCAAGTATACAGTTGAGGAATTGCATGAAATGGGCGATAGGGCGCCAGATTTTGTTTATTCGCTGTAGAATAGAACACCCGAGATAATGAATTTGACAAGACAATAGGCGACTTCAATTAATTGGCAGAGGGACTTGCAGAGAGAGATCGGCATCAGAAAAGTAAGATCCCGTGTGCAGCGCAAGTCCCTCAAAATTGAAGTGACGACTTGCAGAGGATCTGCAAGTACTTAGATAATAATGTTTATATAATTAAATATAATTATTTTAATCTCAAAATGGAAATTTTGGATTCAGATGTGAGACATGAGTGCTGTTACACAAAAAAAATACAGAAATTGTCCCCCCATCATCCTCAGACATCTAAGATGGACCCAAATAACCTCTAGGATCCTTCTCAGTATCAAAATCAGCCACAGACACTAGTAACAGTTCTACCAGGCATGCAAATGCATGCATTTAACTAGCCAACTCTTATACATACCCAGCTTCAACCAGGTTTCTTGTCTCCCAATTCACCTAGTCCTGCCCCAAGTGCTCATGCACTTGGTCAAGAATTTCCTGAGAATGCTTCAGCTCTGTTAGCATTCAATACTCAACAATTTCAACAGTCTCCAGGTCTTCAGATGCAGAATTCAGCTCACAATACATCTCTAGCTCTATAGCTGAAACAAGAGAGCATGTCTCCAGCACCTGAGAAGTCAAAATATAAGGGCAAGGAGAAAGAGAAACCTGTGCTGAGAAAGAAAGGGAAAGGTACACACTATCTCTCTGTATTACTTTTTATGTGCTAGGCTTCCTTTTCAGTATATTTTTACTACAACATACACTTACTCTTTTCAAGGGTCACAATCAGGAAAGAATGCACATCCTTCTGGTATTTCAGACACAGAGACAAGCCAGTTAGACAATAAACTGAAGGAAGAGGCTGAGATCATTGAACAGAAAGACACAAAGGGGAAAGTGTCTTAGGACAAGGAGAATGAGAAGAAACTTGCCAAATACATTTGTACACTAGAAAGATGGTCAAAAGCCCAGACCTCCATTAAGAAGTATTGTCAAGAGGTATGTAGACACCTCTCTGTATTACTTTTTATGTGCTACACACTATTAAACTTGTTTTTAGGCTTCCTAGACAATATTGGATCAATATACTACTGATCAAGTGATTACAAAGTGGCATTTGTTGTTTAGAACATATAAGGACACAAAAAGTAAGTAACTCCTTTATGTTGTACATCAAAATTGCTTACCTAAGCTTGTTAGAGTAGCAAAACTATACAGGAGGAGGTGATAGGGACAGGGAGATACTAGGCATGTGGACTTCTGTAGTAACATGTAAGAAATTTGCAGAAGGAGCAATCTTTACTATTATTGACTGAGTATGAGTCTTACAAACTCTTAGGCTTGTTTAATTTGTATGGTTCATACAAAGGCTTACCTGTTATTAGAGCAGATGGATGTCCAGACATTGAGAGGCCTATTGAATTCAGTTCTGGATGTAGCTTTAAGGATATTAAGGCAGATGTTGAGGAGGATAAGAAGAAATGTAAGAAATCTGATCCTACTACTGTATTCTCCAAAGTTGTTAGTAAGGCCCTAAAACTTGTACAAGAATGACAAGAAAAAATGACAGAGCTTGAATCTGAGCAATTTGCATACCAGAAACAAAAGGATGAGAGGGATGAAGAGTACTAGAGGAAAAGAATACAGTCTGAAGATTGAGCTGTAGAAATACAGATACTATATGATTTGGAAGACCTGCACAACTTGAAATTAGATAGATACTGTGTACTGTGTAATTCAGAGGATCCAGTAGAGAAGGAACTTGCTGTAGACCTTCAAGATAAGCTTCAAGAGATAGTGCAAAGGATCAGGGAACTTTGACAGGGTGGAAATTAGTATAGACTGTGTTGAGAGACTGGTTTCTACTATATGCTTTGAATAACACTTAAACTACAGTTCTTGTAACATTCAGTAAGGTACTTAATATTTAAATGTTAATTCATTCATTCCTTTCATAGAGTGTGCTAAGTTACAGGATAGGAAAGGCATTTTTATTACTAATGTGTGTTACAAATGAGTACAGAAAGTACCTAGATATTCCTACAGTTTATACATTTGAGCAGATTCTTCCTGTATAGTACACCTATATTATAAAGCTTGTTTCCACCCATGTGATTTATATTCCTGACCTGTTCTGCTACCATTTGGTCTTCACTGTCTTGAGCAGTAGCAAAAAGGCCTGTGTTATTATGACTATTGTAGTTTGTAATAGTTTCTGGGTTGTTGTTTAAATTGATCAATATATTGTGTATAACTATCAGAGCTTCAACCATTATATAAATGATGTTGAGCTTGTATCTAGGAAAACTTTATAGGGAAGTGAATCATCCTTTAAGTATCCTAAATGTGTGCTCAATCATAATACAGTAATGTGAGAGTTTGAAGTTAAAATCTCAGTAATGGCAAGACTCTTGAGAGTTGTTTGTATGTTTGTAATCAGTGAACAGGCAGATAGTGAACTGGGTGAGTGGGTAACCTATATAAAATCAAAACATTAATGAACCCTGTACTGTTCCAGGAGATTATAATGAACCAAATAGTACTCATGGTACAGATGGTATACCTTTATCAGCTAGAATATACTTGTCTCTATCAAAGTGCTCTGCTAGGAATCACCATATCCTGGACTCTTTGAAAACAGTAGTGTCTTGAACATTTCCAGGCTAGCCTAAGTCAAACTTGGTAAAGTGCTTTCTGTTGTCACAGACTGCCTGAAGAACAATCTAAGAGAAAGGACTATGAGAGAAATGCAAAAAGACAAAAAGACTATTATACTTACTAAATAGTACTTTTTTCTACTGAAGTAAAGATTTCCATCTTTCCTAGGTTTTGTAGTAAGTAGGATGAGTAAACTGTCCACCATACTAATACACTCTGGAAATCCTTCAGCTTGAAGACATAATTTCAGTTCTAGACAATGTTCACTAGTAGGCCAAGTAAGAAACCAAGGCCTGAGCCAGCAAAAAGCAGTACAGACACAGGCACAGTATAGAGGTACTGTGCCTGCTATAATGGATGATTGCTCTACAACCTTAATACCTGTTGTACTACTGTAATGTAGTAGAAATACAGTAAGTTACTCCTAATGAGGACACTACAGACATTTACTAGTTCTCCTGAAGACCTCATCATCCTTGATGAGGTCACTGAGCATCTTGAATGAAGTACAGTTGACTCTAAAGAGACATGGATTAGAATACAGTAGCATGCATATGATTCATAACCTTCAAGACATACCTGAAGAACACTTTGAAAATATAATCTGAAGTACCAAACAGCAAGTTATTAAGGAAATCCTCAGAGTGGGATGCACTGTATGAGTCACAAAATGAAGGGCAAGCATGAAGGAGCAGACAATGAGCTTCATATGTAAGAAGAAGGCTAAGGAGCAGGTTGAATTCAGTGTCAAAATGCAGAATACACAGGGTAGATAGAGCACCCATACTCATAGCAAATTTATTACTGTAATAAGTAGAGCCAGGCATCTTGAAAGGAGAATGGAGAGTGTAAGATATACAAGAAAATGGCCTGTATATGCACTTAACATGCTCTTCCTATATGGTCACATGACCATGCTTCTTGGTATATTTCATGCTTCTTAAGGATTTATGTTGTGGTATGCAATCAAATGTTTATTTTTTTTCAAACTCTGTATGTCTGCAAGTGCAAACAAGTGGGTGACTTCCTGTAAGGAATTTCAATGTTTCTAAACTCCAGACAGACCAAACAAAATTTTAAGCAAGATAGAAGTAAGGAACTTCAAACTGTAACACAGAAAAAACAGTCAGATTCTGGTCACTAAGTCAGAGGCAGATTCCATTACATAAGAGACTAAATGGAGTTAATTTTGATGACAAAATGACAGTAGCTCAGGCACAATTACTATAAGTGTTGGCTAAAGTGCTTTAGGATAGGATTTCTTGTGTGTCAAGTCTGAAGAGGGGGGGTCAGACCCCTCCTTCAGATTCTCAATTTTGGAGTGTAGTGAAAAGTGAGTGTTATTCGGTTCCTGCTTCACTTACTCTTGCTTACACTCAACCAATGTCACCCAGCAGTTTAGGATTTGAGAAAAAAGCTAAATATGCTTATGGGAAGTCACCCAGTGGGTTTGAGCACTTGCATGCACTTGCAGACAGTTGCACAGATCTCATCTCCATTTGGTATCTATTAAGGTACATACTACTTTGCCAAGACACCCCAAAATCTTCCTGCCGTCCTGCAAGTGCTCCTGCCAATTAATTGAATTCACCTAATGGTATGGTATGGTATGGTATATTTCCTGGTATAGGTCCCTAAAAAGAAACACCAGGGCTGCTGGTCTATTGTACAAATACAGGGTAATTTATCTATAATAAAGAAACCACCCTGTCCAGCAATGTTCAGGGAACTACTAATGCAATAGACACTCAACGCTTCTCCAACTGTGTACCAGAAATGAGACAAAAAGTATATGAGCTCTTGAGAGGTAAGGGAACATGGGTACACAGGAGAAGATACTATTTTCACAGTAGAAATCCATCATGAACAGTATAGAGAGATTATAAATGAGAATCACTAATAGAGTTAGTTGTGACCTTAGTAAAGAGAGGAGGCAGAAAAGTAAAAGAAGATTGATGAGTAAGAATAGGGGTTGTAAGCAATTGCAACACCTTCATTTTGAGTAGCTCATTTTGTTTTTTCTTTTATATATTTGATAGTATGCTACACTAGTAGCATTATAGAAGTATATTGAGTAATTTTTGGTCTTTTATTAATGATGTAGATGTAGTAGCAATTTATTGGTATTTTTTGAATAATTTTCGTGGTGGTGGTTCGTGAATGAGTGCCATACGAATTGATTGATCCTAAATCCCACGGCTTGAGAAAAATTGCCCGAATTGGTATTTCAATTTGACTGCACACCCGCTGCTTCTCGTCTTATGACCTTTTCATCAACTATTGCCTTCCGCATTGGAAGGTTGTTAAGGCTGTTCCGAACGTATCGGTATTATTTTGTGGGCAGTATCAAGACCAATATAAGCTGTCTCGTCAATCAGCAACAATGATATAAAAGTGTCATCACTTGGCACCTTTGCCATTTCTCCCTCAACCTCTCCTTGGTCATGCCTGTAGATTCGCGGGCTCGGGATGTGGATTCTGCAAGCATGGAGAAGGGATCCGACTCTGTACAGGAGAAGATACTCCACAATACAGAGAAGCGGCCGGAAGGCTTCGTTTTCGGTGGCGATTCGACTTTACCTCCGCCGCCAGATCTCACGCCGGAGCAAGAAAAGAAGCTGTATAGAAAGATCGACTTGAGACTAATGCCGATTCTCAGCATCATGTACCTCTGCTCTTTCTTGGATCGTGGTATGTCCATGCGTAACTATTACGAAATATTCATCGCTAAACGCGTGTGTAGGAAACATTGGTAATATTTTCTGTGAGACGGTATACGATACTTTTATTAATTACAGTGTCTCATAGGCAATGCTAAACTCGCCGGACTTGTTGAGGAACTACACTTGGTTGGAAACCAGTACAACATTGCCCTTGTACGATTTTTAGATTCCAACTCCTTTCGTTTCTGACTATTGCTTTCTAGACAATGTATTTCATTGTAAGTCATATGTGAATTCCATATCTCTTTCCATATATGAACCATCTCCAGCCTTACTGTCTAGCAGAATGCCCTGCGAAGTAAGTATTACTGACGGTCAATTATAATTCTGTCTCATGCAACATAATCCAGCCTGGTTCTCAAAAAGTTTCGCCCTTCGAGGTAGGTTTGTTGTCGATAGTCTGTTAAACACATTCATACTTATTGACTCTCTTAGATGGCTTCCGGGAATCACTGTGAGCAGCCTATACGGTACTCAATTGCTTGTTTGGAAGTTAACTGACAGTAATCCTCACAAGATTGTTTGGGGAACTGTCATGTACGGTTCGATTTAGATTTCTGTTGAATTTTCATTGAAATTGACCAAGTCTCTTGTCTCTCGCAGGACGTTAATGGGTCTAGTCAAAACGTATAGTTGTATTGGTCGTATCTGTCAAAGTCGCCTAATCCTCTTTCTATAGTTACCCCCAGCTAGTGGGAACTCGAGTTTGCCTGGGCGTCGCCGAAGCTGGTCTTTTCCCAGGCGTGGTGTATTAGTTCGTCCGAATCCGTGCTTATAACGACGGGTTTTACATGTTTATTACTGAGTTACTAGCCTTACGTTCTGGTACCCTCGCTATAAATTGCAGTACCGAGTTGGTCTCTTCTTTGGTGCGGCGACTATAGCTGGCGCATTTTCTGGCTTACTTGCATTTGCAATCGAATTCATGGGAGGTACTCAGGGACTAATGGCTTGGTCATGGATATTTGTTCGTTGTTCTCTTCTACGCAGATTTGTTACATCACTAAGAGTTTGACAGATCCTCGAGGGAATTGCAACTGTCGTCATTGGCATAGTCGCTTTCTTTGGTCTGTCTTTGGCCAGAGAACCACGAGAATATACTCATGGGGATCTTTTAGTACTCGTCGACTTCCCTGTTAGTGCTTCGTTCCTGACGCCAGAAGAACGTGCCTATGTCATCCATAAAAAGAGTGAGTCTGAATAATGCATACACTGTTATTCGGGAAAGCGTAGTTGACGACGTTGGTTTCATCTCTTTTAGAGTACGATAATTCAAGCGGTATTGGTGAAGCTGAGAAGTTTGCTTGGCGTTACGTTTGGGCAGCATTCAAAGACTGGCAGATTTGGTTACATATCTTAATCTACACGTCGGTCATTGTACCACGTAAGTTTCACTTTCTACTGCTTACTTCGTAGTCCAAGTAAATCATCCTTGATTAGTCTATGGTATCTCGCTTTTCTTGCCGTAAGTCGCACCAACATATTCAATATTGTATGTACTCGCTGAACATGCAAAAAACTATTTAGGTCGATCATATCCGGGTAAGGTCTCAATATCTCTACTTGAATGTCCTATTGATAATGTAGCGCAATTCGAATGCTTTCAGGTTCGGTTACAGCGTTCCTATCACACAGCTCCTCACAGTACCGCCATACGTCTTTGCCAGTGAGCGACTCCTCCTGTATTAAATCACTGCACTTGTTGACGAATGACCTGGCCTCGCTATTAGCTATTATGCTACTTATTTTCGGGCACTTCTCCGACAAGATCCATAAACGCTCGCCGTTCATCCTCCTCGGGCTTACAATGCTCTTGATTGGGTTCAGCATCAATATCTCAGATGCCCGACGTGGAGTGAAGTACTTCGGGACGTTTTTCTGCGTCGCTGGTTCATATGCGGCGTTTCCTGGTGTTGTTGCATGGTAAACTCTTCTGCTTAGTCTTTTATCTACGAGACATATTTTGACGCCTGATCAGGCTTGGGAATAATCTTGCTGGTCAGTACAAACGCGGAGTAGGTATGGCGTTACATATTGGAATTGGGAATTTTGCTGGAGCTATTGGTATGTTCTTTCTTTGCTTCTAATCGGTTATATTATCTAATTCGAATTAGCGAGCAATATCTATCGTACACAAGATTCACCACGTTATCTGATTGGTCGTGAGTGATTTACTATCTCTCACAACACTCACAGCAATTTGAATTCCCAATCTCAACTTATTCTAGATGGTATAGAACTTATGTTCGTCGGGATTGGATTCATCTGTGTCCCACTGGCAATACTTATCTACATACGGATAAACACTCGGCGTGAAGCAGAGTTGGAACGTACTGGCGGAGTTGTCAAACTTTCAATTGAGGAATTGCATGAACTGGGTGATCGTGCTCCCGATTTCAAGTATACGTTGTAAATTCGTTCAACTACACTACAGCAGCACATATGTGTTCCAATGTCAATGTCTATCTCAAAAGTAGTCTGCTTATGAAGGAAACCAAATTTATTGGACGATGCATTCCTCTGTTCCCATCCTGACAAGGCTACGTGATTAGGTTGAAGGAGAGGGTTGTCTTCCAAGGAGGAACGAGATTGTGTTGAATGCTGCCCAAGGGACAAACTCTGTTAAAAGAATACATCAAGATCAATACTCAGCTCATGGTGGTGCAGTAGTAATTAATAGGACATACGAGGCGTCATGTGTCCTGAGAACTCAAATTCCACATCTGTATGTTCCAATCATCATTTTTGTAAGTAACTGTTACAAGTTATACAAGTATGATGATACGTACATGTGAGACCGCGTTCCGAGTGTTCGCTACCAAAGATTCCGAAGTTGTCAACCGTGAATGTTTCTGGCTCAATGGGAGACTGGAATCCTTGTGCGCCTGCCCACGTCATGTTCCTACATGATACGGGTATTTCGAAGATAATCAGAATTACTTTATCTGTATTTTGTTTTGAGAAAAAGAATGTTTATACTGACTGGATTGCAATACGTGTACCCTCGGCAACGAGAATGAAATCCTATTTGATAAAAACGTAGCATTAAATTCGTATTCACTTCGAAATATGCAAAACAAGGAGAGAAACTAAGACAATACGCACTGCAAGCCCATGTACGATGACCGTCCGTTCCGACTTCTCAATGACGTTCGGAAGGACACTGAGCGTGGATGGGATAGACTGGTCGTTTATTGGTCTGCCAGTCGTTGTGTTTACATAGACGCTGTTGTCTGTGCAGGACATCCAGTTGATGTGTGGGGCATGAATTGCATCTTGGACCTAGATAGTATGCTGTCATTTCAAGGTTCCGATGTAGGAATGAGAAGAAGATGGAGAGATGCTACTTACGTCCGTCCTGCACGGTAAAAATGAAGGTAAAAAATAAGCATATAGTGAGGTTATATAAAATATCTGGGATCCGTTACCGGTTGAAGTAAATGAATTCCTGCGTGGAACGCGGGAAGCCGAGGACACTCCCTACACAATCATGTCAGTTTCACGTAGTGAAGGTAGAACCTAGCTATCACCTACATAAATTAGGCCAAGTATCAGAAACGCGATACACGTCGAACACGGGATTCAATCTACCAAGGTAAATCGTGCATGAGTAATTCCCTCTCAACATCACACAAGAAAGGAGTTATATACGCACATCTGGATCGCTCGTTGTATAGGACTATGAAGCCGACACGACGCGACAGCAGAGAACCCTCCCTCTGTTCCATTCGGCAAGGGAAGCTGGCCCGCAGGAGGATACGTCACGAATTGGTCGAGGTAATCTGTATATCCGCATGTATCTGAAATGTTTTGCAGCTGGGTCAGGAAGCTGCTGTTGAATGGGAATAGATCTGCGTGTTTCTGCGAATTTCATTGTTCGTTTAGATATTAGTTTCGAAAACGGTGCTATATAAGATATGACTACCTGAACAAAGCGGAGAGCTGGAACATCTTGTTGTAGGACTCCGTATGTTAGTGTCGGATCTGCAATCCAGATTCCCTTGAGGTTCAAGTCGAGGCCCGGATGTTCGTATATCCAGTTTGCGATGTAAGGGACGTCTGAATAACATTTACCAAGACAGCTCCTACTAATCAGTCATTAATAGACTTACAGAAGCCAGCATACTGTATTTACAAGCAAGCCAATCAAAAGAAATAATAATCAGAGTGTGGAGGTGACTCACGCTCTCGCCCGATACAAAGAAGTTTTTCCCCTTCAACTCGCTGAATACTTCGAGGAATTGTTCGAGGAAACCCATGACTTGCTCTGCGAGTTGATCGTCATTCTCGATGCTCGGTTGACCTTGGCTGAAGCCCGTCTTAAATAAAGGTGGTACCAATTAGTATGTTATGTGAAGGGTTTTGCATAGCTCGGGATGCAGACTCACTCCAACGGGTTGCTCAACCCAGAGGACGTGGGAGAGGTTCGTCCAGGACCACATGTTCCTGTTAATAATTCGCATAAGATGTCGGAGGAAATACCAAAGAGGCAAGCATACGGAGTTGGTTGAGACTGGCCCCAAGACCATGCTACACAGGAAGAAAAGTTTCAGTCTACATCAGGATTCAAGCACAAGAGACTTACAAATAGGTCCATTCTCTTGGAGGAATCCTTCCAGCGACGAGCATCCGGGTCCACCTACAGACATAAATGAATATTCCCAAATCACGTTGCATATTAAGGATAGAGACGCACCATTCGTCCAGAAAAGTAACTCATCTCCGTTCGACGCATTATTCGTCGGCCAAAACCAGAAGAAAAGCTTTCGGGTCTCGTTCTTCGCTCCACTAATTGGCATCAATCCCGACCACGAAGGTCCAGCGTCAAAATTCACTACAATGCCATAATAAATATTATTATTCCGCTCGGCTTCACATTAACTCATATTCGAATGCCTCCATACGCACCATCAGGAATACTCTTCCCATCAACGAAGAACTCCTTCGCTTTCGGGTTCGAGAACGAAATCGTCGCCGCCTCTTCGTCCCGCTTTCTTGACGGAATCATCTCGTCGGGTGATGGTCCGAGGAATTGACGAAGCCTCTCAAGACCTTCACGCTGGATAGCCATGGATTCATCTATACCCGTCAGGCTGCTTGCGCCTGATGATGCGAACGTAGTTTGTATGAGGCACGTTGAAGTGAGGAGGAGGGTGGTCACTGCAGAGAGTAGTTTCATCCTGTATTTGCCGTTCTTTTCGGAGGAGTGGGACGGACGGTACGTGCGGTACGAATATCTCGTTTGCTGGGGTGCGAACTATTTATGTAGTACTTCTCTTCGACGGCACGAGCTTGGCGCCCGGATCGTCGAGGAGTGGGTACTAACTTCGTCTTACAAATCCCGTTCTAACAGCCATATCACGACGCTCGCTGAATGACTCGATGCCATCGAGTGGGTGTACTAGTCCCGCAGCTGTAATTCTTGCGCACCACGCGCATAGGGAGGCACGAGACCCAGAACGACCATCAGAAGGATAGAGAACCCAAGGAAGGTTTATTTTTGGCTCGAGAGCGTATGGTGCAGGTGTTTGCTAATGATGTTGTTCTTTCTCGTAAATGTGGCAGAACAGCAGCTAGGGAGACATAGTACATACTGGGGGTTTGAATGCACATGTATGAATTGCGAGCCGAAGCAGGCTGCAAATGAGTACATAGAGTGACAAGTGGCAGGTGGGCAAGGTGAGAAAGACTTGTGAATTTGTTTTGTGTATGTTTGTTGTGCTGTGTATGTTTGTCCGAGAGCTCAGACTAGAAGCTAAAAAATGCAAATCAGCCGCAGATAACGGAACAAGATGCGCTATAGAAGTGCTCCTGCCATATGATCGTCAACGGAAGAAATTCAAGAATCCTTGGCGGTCATCGTGGCACTGAGTTATAAATAGAATTTTTCGGGCCGGCGTGCCGCGTCGGGACTGTTACGAGTCATACCACAACTACAGTAGTTGCAGCACAGATTCAGAAATATTGATATTAGTATTCCATTTTTGTGAAGTTACTGTCGACTCTGTAGCGGCCTTTCTTCTACTCGTTCCAACGATCTCGCTCCACCATTCCTCGTTCTATCAGCCCTGCTGCAATGACTGTGTGACCATGTCAACATCCAATTACTTCAGCTCAAAAATAGATTGATATTCAATCACACTGATAGTCAATCACACTGATATTCCATCTCGTGAATGTACTACCGGCCCTGTAACAGCTCCCTTCTACTCGTTCCGCACTTCCACTCCGCGATTCCGTCGTTCTATCAGTCTTTCACCACATGCCATTGCCATTGCCAAGAGCATTCGGAAACAGTCTTACAATCTGACTATCTATCTGTACAGTGTACATAGCCTAAAGACAGAAAAGCCAGACCTGATGACGTATTTTTCGCCGATATCATTTCCATTGTTAGACAGAGTGCAGCTGCTCCCCATTAATCATCTGCTCAAAAATCACAAACGCAGCCTCAGGTTGAAAAGCAGGCACTTCATGTCCAGCCTGATACACTCTCGCAAACGAGAAGTTATGCACGTTCTGAATAGCAGCTACGGCTTCCCCGTGAATCGTCATATTCGTGAAAGGCGTCGCGTGCAGTTGTTTACTGCCGAACCAGTCCATTGCGAGTACGGATGCATGCCCGCCGAGCCAATTACAGCTGTACAAAGTGTTTTTGAGTTGAAGTTGATTAATGGTGGTGAAGAGGGGAAACGTACTTGATGTCTGCGTCACCAGCCTGCCGTTATGAATAGCAATTTAGTGAGGATGTGAAGAGAAAGAGAGGATAATATACCCATATGAGCATCTTCAACCCTGAATTCGCCAGTGCACCAAGCGCCGGGAGTAGAGTCCTCGCATCCTATCAACCAAACAAACATCCACGTTCACCATTAAACACATGAAATAAAGCTAAAATCACGCACATCCCCCGTCCTTGCAAACAACTCAAATGGCGCATCCAGACACTCACCATACGTGCTCTCCGCTCCAATCTTCTTCTTTGTCGTCTCGTTAGCGAGGAGTTTGAGGTAGAACTCCGGAGGGAAGAGTGCAGAGCTGTTTTGTCGGAGGTCGTCGGAGTCGCGGTCGCCTACAGCAGGGACGAAGACGTTTTCCACCTATCACATGAAAAACGTATAAGTGCAAGAAAGAAGAAGGAAGGATGAAGAGTGTGGACGTACGCAAAAGTTATCAGCTTTTATACATACTGCGTCGCTGAACGAACTGTTCCCAGCGCCATGCAGGCCTTCAGCATCCTCTTTGCTTGCTTCGTAACATGCCAGTTCTTGATCTCTACATCCACCTGGCTCGTAGAACGACTGGTTTAGCTTCTTGAGAACGTCAGGAGATTGTAAGGGACCGTAGCCAGGGGCGTTTGTAGCAAAGTCGACGTAGGCCTTGTTTTGTAGGAGTGGGTCGTACCAACCGCTGAATACAATAATTTAATGAGATGAAGTAGAAAGAGGAAGGGAACGTACTTGTTGATGAGCAAAGCGCTGACTACGATTGGCTCGCCTTCGATCGTCCCTTTCGCGATAAGCTCGTTTTGCTGATCGAAATACGTAACGAACGCTGGTCCGTAGTGTCCTCCGTAACTTTCCGTTGCGAACACGAACCTGCACGTCGTTTTGAATCAATACTTCTTTAAGTAATCGGAAGGAGAATAGAACGCACTCGCGACTTTTGAACTTGCTGAACTGTCCACTCTCGAAGAGGATTTGGAAGGCTGTCCAGACGAATGGAGCGGCTGCTTGTGTGCTGTTGACAGTGTCCGTGCCGAAGGAAAAGCCGGTTCCAATAGGCTGGTCGATGTAGATCACTAACAACCAAGCAAAATGTCAGTGATGGCACAGGAATGCGAGCTGGAACACGTACTGTTGCTGATATTATTCCAGCTGTCAAAGAAATTCAAAAATTGTCAGAAATAGCAATGATGGAGCCCGGGATCGGCGACTACCTGTATGGATTCAGAGTGGTCGTTTCGCCATCAGGGTTGACATTGCATGGTCCGTTCTCTACCCGTGGATTCAGCACGTCTTTCTGGATGCACGGAAGAGATCTGACCTTGAAAAAGCCCGATCATTGACGAACAGCCTGGACCTCCGTTCAGCCTAAACAAAACAAATAAGAACAACGATGACGTTGGGGACAGAAGAGGGACAGACCAAAGCGTGAAGGGAGCCGTCTCTGGGTCATGCCTTGCCTCAAAGAACCAAAACCACTGAGAAGCGTGTTCAGTTAGATAATGCCGATGGGAAGAGAGGAGGAGCACACACCATGGACATATTCGGACCAACGTCGATGTAGCCCGAGATCTGACCGACACCAGGTGTCGTCTCGCACACGCCCGAGTCTTTCACGAAGCGGAGTTTTGTGTCATCCTGCCTTTTGGACATGAAGACATTGTGGACCGGGGCGAGGTCGTGGTTAACGAGAGGAGACGAGTTGACAAGGGACGCCAGCGACGTGAAGGCTACTAGGAGCAAGGCAGCTACGCGTGAAGTACGGGCAAGCATAGCGAAGGGCCGCGGGTGTGGAAGAGAAGGGAGGAGCCCTCTGAAGAAAGGACAGATGATGCATTGTGGTTGATATAAGAAGAGGCTGGAGATGGACGGTCTCGGAATTTGTTTTATAAATAAGCGCAGCTATCGAACAAAGCATCCATATGGTCCTCAGCCCAGTCCGATAAGCACGCGCACTCTCCAAAGCAGACAGCATCAAATGGAAGAACACAACAGTCAGGCGAACAGACAGACGGGCGGATGGCGGTCGGCATCGGATAACGTGAACGAGCAAGTCGACTGTAATAAAGGACTTCACTCGACTTGAAGCAACTTGGGGAGGAGCGCGCGGCCGCTGCCGATCGCCCAGTCCATAGCGTTGATCACACAGCTCTGCCCTATCGCGCGTCATCTCTCTCTCCTTGCCTCTCCCCATCCAAGCGTCGCCGTCGTCCTTCAACCCCGCCTGTAGCATACATTCAGCTCGACTCGTCCCACAATGCCGGCCTCACGACGCGGAAGTGGCAGCGTCACCCTCCCCTCGGGTCAGACACTCGCCATACACACCCGTACTCAGGATGAGGAGGACCTGCCCCATGCCACCAAAAAGTGCGCCCAAAACACTTCTCATCTCATTGCATGAACGTCCGTGCTCAACATCCTTCAAAATGACAGGACTATGGCCGATCATCTGCGCAAGTATGAGCAGCTGTATGTAGTCCTCTTGCTTTCACTTGCCACTCCGCCCTCGCTTACATATATGCGCCCCAATTAAAAGCTTCACGCTTACCCCACAGCGCATGCGCATGATCACAGAGGCCTTCAGCGAGATACTCGACAATGGTCTCAAGAAGCATGGTCAAGTCGTTGTATGTACATCTCCGTGTCTTCATCTCTTATTCTTCGATGCCACACCTCTCTCAAGCCCGAACGGGGCGCATATATGCATCGCTAAAATCGTGATTATTCATCTATTCTAGCCCATGATTCCGACCTTCGTATTTGGCTGGCCTACGGGCGAAGAAGTCGGTGATTATCTCGCGCTAGATCTTGGTATGTCTCCGATTCCGCCGCCTTCGTCTCTGAACGCGGTACTTACTCACCATCGCTTACTACCACAGGTGGTACGAATCTTCGCGTCTGTCTTGTCTCGCTCCAGGGAAACGGCAAGTTCGAGATTACCCAGACCAAATACCGTCTCACCGAGGAACAAAAGCACGATGACGGCGAGAAACTCTTCGATTTCTGCGCAGAGTGCCTGGCAACCTTCATCGTGACCAACATGGCAAGTGTGTGCGAACCTGGCGCCAATGTATCCGTGGAAGGAGAAGAACCGAAGAAGGTGGAGGTGACGGCGACAGAGTCAAGTGGACATGCCGAGGGCTTGTTGCAGCCTGGCCAGGAATTACCTCTTGGCTTCACAGTGAGCAGTCTCACTTGTACTCGATTAGCATGTCTCTGATTTAATTTCGATACAGTTCTCTTACCCATGCGAGTGAGTTCCTATCTTTCGAAATAAACGTCCATTTTCTGATTATGCTTCAGCCAGGAACGCATCGACCATGGCGTACTCATTCGTTGGACGAAGGGCTTCGGCGCACCGAATACGGAAGGGCACGATGTTGCTGAGATGTTCCGTAAGGCCATCGAAAAGCGCGTACGTTTCATGTTTTGTTTTTACTGTTTCCGATCTATTGTCTAAGTCCCTTCAATAGAACCTTCCCATAAAAATGACAGCACTCATCAACGACACGACTGGAACACTTATTGCATCGCATTATGTCAATCCACGTACGAAGATTGCGGTCATCTTCGGAACGGGATGCAATGCAGCGTACATGGAACATGTCAAAGACATCACGAAGATCAATAATCTGGGGTTAGACGGGGACGCACAAGGACCTGCAGCAGAAATGGCAATCAATTGTGAATGGGTAAGCGGTGCCTCCTTGTTTTTATGGATTTGAAAATACTGAGACAATAGGGCAGGGTGCATTTGATTCGCATGCACACGAACACCTGCCGAGGACGAAGTATGACCAGATCGTGGATGAGACATCCAACAAACCAGGTGAACAAGCCTTCGAGGTGCGTATTGATGTTACCTGCTACACTTGCCTTGGGAAGCGAACTCACTTCACGCGTTTCGGCTGCTTAGAAACTCATTTCTGGTCGTTACCTCGGCGAAATCTTACGGCTTGTTATCTGCGAGCTTATTGACGAAGGAGTACTGTTCTTGGGGCAGAACACATACAAACTCGAGAAGCCGTACTGTTTCGACACAGCATTCTTGTCGTTGATGGAGAGGTATACCTACATCTCCTTCTCTTTGTACATATGGCTTATGCTTGTTTCAGTGATCCGACAGACGAGCTACTTATGATCATCGGTATCTTCACGCATTTCTTCGCATTGGAGACGACTCTAGCCGAAAGGCAGTTCTTCCGTGCACTGGCACGACTCGTTGGTCGCCGTGCGGCGCGTTTGAGTGCCTGTGGTATTGCCGCGATCGTCACTAAGATGGGGTACCTTGATGAGGGGTGCAGTGTTGGTGCGGACGGGTCACTGTACAACGTATGTCTCGTATGGACAATTCACGAGGATTGTGCTTATGTGTCACTTGCAGAAATATCCTGGCTTCGCAGATCGTGTGCACGAAGGCTTAGTTGACATTTTCGGTGACAAGGGCCGGTATGTACTATTTTGACTCGCTATTCGTGAGACCTGTTACTGAACAAATGACGCTAATAGCAATATCATCACACACCACGCTGAGGATGGTAGTGGCGTTGGGAGTGCGATCATTGCTGGTAAGTGCAAGACACCCTTCTCTTTTTGCATTACCGCAAGCTAAACATTTGTTTAACTTCGTATAGCTATGACGAAAGCACGCAAGGATGCCGGAATCTATCCACACGTCTAAAGTCCTTCGCTCCCTGGCTTCTCTCACAGTTCTACTGCTGCATACTGCTTGCTTTACCTATACCCGACGCTCCGGATGAGCGTCGTGTGCAGTGTGCGGGCATCATTAAAACTACGTTCCAATCTTTCGTTTCTTAAACTTGTTTTTTTTACCTTTCTGTAAAGGTATCGGGACGCTGAAGGCCCTGTGTAAAGTAGCGAATAAGTGCAAAGAAATGAATAACCTATAGATGTGAATCTGAAACTTCATAAATGTCGTATTGGCTTACTGTTTCTAAATGCACGAAGAGAATGAATGTCACATTGTTTGTTGGATATTGCATGGTCATCGGAAAGGTGCATTTAGTCGGTGCATGTGATGACTACCGTAACCCTAGATAGAAATTTCAACTTGTAGTAAGGTATAAGTGTGCAGGTACTTATGTCCATGATTCACAGCTCTCAAAAGAAAACATTTAGGCGATCTCAGCTATTCTATACTAGTATACTCAAGTCAAGAAGACTCCATGTTATGTACATACATAGAATGAGACATTCATGTACTTTACTTTTACTACTAATCTCAGATATTATACCCCGCAACATGTAAACTCTGTACAAACGAGCGCACCGCATCACCTCCACTAGTCTTCGCAGACTCGACAAGCGGGTGGATACGCGTATCGCTTGCAGCAGCAGCGGCGAACTTTTCGCCGACGTATGCGCGTGGGTCAGTGACACTGGGTACAGGGTCTTCAGGGAGGGAGGATTCGGATGCAGCGAGTTTGGAGTAAGCGGCTTGGTACCCTGCGCCTTGTTCTTCGAAGTCGATGGAACGGAGGACTTCGTCTGGGTCTTCTGCTTCGGTTGATTGAGCGCTTGTGAGGTGTTTGGATTCGGTGAAGAGTTTGGTGAGTTCGGAGAAGGCGGCTGGCCTGATCGAGAAGAGGACGGTCAGTCAGCATCTGTTTGATTGTAATTTTTTGTTTGCTTTTGAGGTGAGTTACGTACCATTGCGAGATGGCGGGTTCGGCGAGAGTGACGTTGCTTTGTGTCAACATTTTCGTTAAGCCGACGATGGCGACCTTCCTGTCCTTTGGAAGGATCTTATGTACTTGCGGTACGACCACGTTGCCGAGAATCTGCGACCATAACCTTGATAGCGGTATCACTTAAGATTAAGCCATGGCACAGTAGAACAAAATACTAAGATACGTACTGGGGTTGCACTTGTTCCACGGCTCCAATAACGAAATCGGGCGTCAGTTCATCCGCGTCAATCGCCATTGCGTACAAAAAGAAATAGACCAGCTGGTACGCGTAGTTATCCGTTTTACCCGTCTGAAGGCGCGTAAGCAGCATCGTGACAATACTCTTCATATATTGATTTAACATGGCAGTCGGGATGCATCTAACGATGGCTTGAAGAAGTTCAAAGCCCCACGTGTCATTGACTTTTGACGGAATGAGCTTCTGCTGCACGACGGCGAGCACGCTGGTGAACTGTCCAGTTGTCGCAAGTTGGGCGCCATCGCGTTGCAAGAACGCCTTTAATAAGCGTACGAGGCCCGGAATGCTGCCCTTCTGAGCCCAACTTGAGGGCTGCAAAAGGAAAGGAAGCAGTGTCCGGTAATCAGCGGGAACGTCGTCTTGATGTAGCTCAAGCATCTGTGAGATGATTTGAAACACATAAGGGATGAATTCTGGATAGGTCAATTGATTTAGCCTGAGAACAGGGGAAACGCAAAGAGGCACTGACGGTCTATGTCTTGTTGTAATATGAATGTAAACGGTCCGAACAAGGTTTGTTCAAATGCTGATAATGACTGTGAGGATGCTGCGACGATGAACCTAGTAATTGTTCAGTATGAGTTTTTGAGCGGTTGTCACTGACAAAGAAACGATATTGCCTACCTCACAAGAGCAGAGATGCTCTCAAAAATATATTGGTCGAAATTCGGGTTGCTCGGGTTCTTCGCAATAGCACCGATGATGTTAATCAAGCGTTGAAGAAGAGTCTCGTATGCGGGGAGTAGCGTCGCCCGCGCCGTTAGTATGATCCGCATGACGCCTGCGGAGAAGTCAGGGAGACGACTCTGTTTCTGGCCGCAATGCACGTACATTTCATCAGATAATCATTTTCCGCGATTTTTTCAGGAGTACCACCGGATTCGATTCTCGTAAGTAGGACATTCAGAATCTGCGGCGCAATCTCACGGATATCCTCCTGATTGAACCTGATGGCATGTATAAGCGACGAGATGTTATAGAAAACTTGATGACTCACAGGAGTTGTGAGTTTCGTTTTATGACGAGGATACGTTCGATTGTGGTAGCTGCATATGTGTAGCACACGTAATTAGGCGACTCGAGATGGCGAAGGAGGTACGGAAGCACAGATATTAGTTGCTCTTTTGTAAGCTATCCCAAAGTAATCACGATTAGATGTCACCAAATGAACAAGTTATTAACTAGGACGTGCCTGGTTTCGGAAAGTATACAGATATCGAATAGCGTCAACCTGGAGAATAGGATGAACAGCAGTGCCTTCTGCTTGTAGGTCTTGGAAGACATTCTGCGAAAAGAATTGAACCACATCAACTAAAGCATTCGTGCTTGTTACTCCTTGCTAGTATCCCATCAGCGACACTAAATTACAAATCATGAAAGAACCAATTCACCTGGGCGGTAGCCCCACGAGTCGCAACGGCCGTTAGGAGATATACACTCTCGTCCTTCTTCTTCCAGGTATCTTCCCCTCGCGGATCTGCTGTATAAGCTTGCAGACCAGACTGGACCCATTTGAGTACAACCTCTGTGGTAATTACCTCGAAGCCACTGCCAACAAGAGCTCGCAGCACGTCTGCGGCAGCTTGACGTCGTGTAGTCCCCTCTGCAGTTAATCCACCGGAGACGGCAGCCGAACTCGCGCTCGCGAACGACAAGTCTAGCCGCACATATTCAAGTGGGTCGTCTTCAAATTGTTCGACTTCATGTGTCCGCAATGTCACGTTCGGAACTACGACGCCTTCAACTAGTCCGTCTATCGTTTCCTTACTCTCAAAGATACTACGATAATTGCCCGAGCGTATTGCAGTACTAAGGAAGCGAAGCGATTGGCTGACGAGGCCGTCGTATGCAACTCCAGAACGTTGGCCACCACCAAGAAGAGTCCAAAGTGCTCGAACGAACGATTCCACAGAAGCCGAACTCGTGAGCAGTTCGGGATAACGATGTGTATAGGCCTCTGCAAGCTCAAAAATGGCCGTTTTTATCTGAGAAGGGACACTTGGTGTCGGCTCGTCCGCGTCAGTCTGCAGTTCTGGCGGGTCCCACGAGAGGAAGCGGATGAATATTCCAGTTTGTGGTCCAAAAAATTCAGCATGTGAATCTTCCAATGCAGGAGGGATATCTTGGCAAACAAGATCATAATAGATGTACAATAAAACGACCATTGCTTGAGAGATGGTCTCCGCATCCTTTTTGGACGATAAAGGGTTGTCCAGAAGCATTCTCGATGTGTATCGAAGGACTTGCAGGAAGGGGTCTACGAACTGGGACAAAACAAAATTGATGGTGGTAAATAGCTCATTGGACCGCATCTCAGACCGCCATCTGCCAAAAATAGAATGCGCAGCCTCAAGAACAGAAAGGTTTACTGCATAGGCTTCTGGAGAGGGATTCAAAGCATTTACGAGTTCCTGTATTTACATCAGACAGAGCATACACACAGACTATGAACAGGTTTAACGAACCTTGATCAGGCCATCCCATCGCTCCGGAAAATCATATCCAGCAATAATTGAAACGGTTTCAGCAACTTGAGTTCTCAGATTTTTGCCGGTCGCAGCTGAAAGGGAGATCATAGCAGGAACAAGAAGAGATCGCAGTTGTTGCTTTTCTGCGTCTGGGATGATGGGTTCATCCTGCAAGGATTTAATGACATAAAGACGGGTTCACGTTTGTTCCACTCACATCTTCCCATCTTCTCTTTACGATATTCTTAAGGTAGACGCTTGCCGCCAATCGCACTGATCGATCTTGCGTGGGGGTGATGACAAGTTGGAGGAGTGCCGAGAGGAAGCCAGCTTGCGTCGAGAGAGCAGCGAGGTTCTGCTCTGCTTGCTTTCTGCTTGAAGGGTACAACGATGCGATTAGCAGTGCAGGAAGATCAGACATTGTGTAAAGAGGGAGATGAAAGCAAGGCAAGGCGCACAGCCGAGGTGAGGGCAGAGCAAAGTTCAAAACGCGTGTTGAACGCGTCGTCATTTCATAGCACGTGATGGTCGAGCTGTAAAAAGCCACACGTTGCTTAATTATTATTAAGTTAATTGAATTTTCTGGACCACCAACAGGGATGCTCTCTACCTTCTCTTGTCGGCCACCAGATCATCATCATCATCTCTTGTGGTCCTAGTCATGTTACATTCAGTGAACTGTCTCTGATGCTCTGTCACCTGTCACCAATAATTACCTCGACACGTCGCTCAAGCGATGCATGATGCGGTGGCGAGCCTACATCTCGTCGTATCGTCTACTTCTCTGGTCAATGTATACCCGATTCTCGTCGTAGTGATATCAAGATCATTCAGAGCTTTAAAAGCCGAAGATTGAATATCCCTATCTAGCGGTCTAGTGCCAACTGCAGTCTCAGATTGTCCGCCAACAACGAGGGGCTGATCAAGTCATCGCAATGTTATGAAAGCCATCTCACACACCTATGTGATATTTGACAAGTTGGTACTCGATCCTTCCGACGTTTCATTCATTCGTTGTTTGGGACAAACAATCGATACCTGGGTCTGTGGCATCGATGTATGACACTCTCTGACACCGGGAACTGCGTTCGGTCAGCACTTAATTATGATCGTAGTCCGAACGAAGTAGCTCTGGCAACGAATCGGATTCTACTAGGCAAAGCTTAAACTGCCTTGTGTTGGCATAGCATCTTTCTAACAAGTTGTTATCCTTTGATCAGCACATTCTCGGATAATGTTCTAACCTCGATTTTGCCGCTTTCAATACCTCTGAGTAAATGCTCCTATTGTTGACAACACTACGAACTTGGACGTAATACTGATGCTCATAGCGATGAAAATATCCGAATGTTACACGTTGTGTGAGTTGAAGTTTGGTACCATTCTCCCTTGTTTTCATGGGTGTGAACTGCTCGGAAGCTATTTACTATAGCCGCAGCTGCGTTTGCCACTATTTATATAGTCTTCATTCATGATTTGCGTCATTCACGGGCATTCTTGCACGCCCTCATCCCAGCAGTGCGAAAGGCACGGGACCTTTAGAAGACAACAAGCCAGTAGGCAAGCACAACTGACAATCGATGGGAATCCCGTTTGCGACACAGCACCTGACTATGAAGGTTCTCACTCTTAGACTAATTTTATACTCCAAGTATATACGAAGCAGTCTCGCAAGTTGTAGTGAACTAAATCATGCTGCATGCGTGTTTTCTTGTTCAGAGTCACAACATCCTTTAGTAGTGCAATTTGGCATTACAATTAACAGGGGTGTGCTATGAAACTTGCCTAGAATTTGGCACCACGCTTCGTGCCAACCAATCGCATCAATTACAAGAGGTACGTACTGATCTGGCCGCTCAACCAGCCTCGAAAGAAACAGATCATGATGCTAATACTGCTTCTGTCCCACCTCAATAGGAAACCTCGTGGTCCAAGAAGTTGACGAGGTTGTGACACCGGAGAAGACTTGAAGATACTATAGCCGAATATTTGTAATATTCTCTCTACTGGTCTCATCGAGCATTGATCCCATCTTGCTTTCGTTCCATTTTAATCGGCGATTTCGATCGGTTTTCCTGCGCTGTCGTCGTCTCGTGTCAATCATTTGTTCTGAAGATGGGACGAGTCAGGATCTCGAGGCCTGCGGAACCCTCGGAAGAAGCACTCATTTAATCTGTGTGATCTCTGACCGACCGTTCTCAGCGGCTGCAATCTCTTACTCTCGGAGTTAATTCAATGTTCATCGCCAGCGCAACTGGTTTTACCATGAAGTGGCGCAGCAATTGAGACGATTAGTAAAATTGGCAAGGGAGATGCTAGTCCTGACACCGATCATCTCAAGAACCTGATTCATGCACTGGCAGGTCCCCATTCCTTCTTGATGCACTTGCTAATTACAACTTCATATAGATATTTAGGCTGACTCTGCTCTTCATCTAACACTCGCGCCCTTCTAGCAGAGTACTCCTGGACAATGCTATTTATAAGTCTAGGGGATTACACTACAGAACTCGTGCATCAGACCGCCGTTCGATGTGTGACTGGTGAGCCCTTGCCCTTCGTATTCGCTCGATTCTCTCTAATTCTCGATTTCCTTAACCCATAACGTAGTCGCGGGGACTGTCGTTCTCATCTATGATACATTGCTTCTACTCCCCGACGAAATATGTCTAGTATGGTCCACTTTGACATGGCGTAGGGTATCTTGGGAGGACTCATCGGGGATGAAGCTGCTCTACCTCACCGCTCGCTATCTAATGATTGCAGTATCCATAGTAGCATTGATGAGTAGGTCGTGTTGGACTTGCATATCGCTAGCTAAACTCGTGCTTCTTCCAGTGTGTTTGCCCTTAACCAGACTCAGTACCGAATGGGTAAGCTAAAGTTGTTTACATCCGAATATGCGCTAAGAGACTCTGCAGTTAGTGATAAAGTAAACAGTGTTGGAGACCGGCTCAAGTTATTCAGGTGCTCGAATGCTACTGTATTCACTGGAGCTGCAGACATAGTATTGGAATCCATTGCATCAGGTATACATAAAACGCTCTACCCCTCTACACTGAATTATTGACTTGTTATATGACAGGGGTCGTGTTTTATCGTCTGTACAAGTTATGGGAGTTTGGAGATATGGGGAAATGGATTCTTGGCACCGTGTTCATAATTGGGAAAGCCGTTGTTTGGATATTCACTTTTGTGAATATGGCTCGCATTGACAGTGAGCTATGCCGTTGATCGAGTTACACTGCTCTTAAGCGGCTTATAGAGACTATATTCTATCTGGATTTTGGTATCTATTCGTCATGCGCTACTTTGCTTACGCCGCGTCTGGTGCTCGGTGTCTGGATACCTGACGTGCGTAAAAATCGAAGTGCTGCTTGATGTATTCTTAACATACTTTATTCCGTGTTAAATAGGCTCTGCTTGATATCGCGCTTGTTGTCTTCTTCTTTCTTAATGCTCTTTCCCGTCCACGGCTGAAGTCACAGGGTCTCATTGGAATTATTTGCAAAGACGGAATTCAATTTTTTCTGGTATGCCATTCAGTTATTTATGCGACATTTCCTAATATATTTGCTACTAGACAATGATAGGTACAATTTACCAATATTGTTGGCATGAGATCCATCTCTGATTCGATTCCATTTACAACAGCAATGAGGATGATAAATGTATTCTTTACAGCGCTTGCACCGGTACGCCGATTCTTCAATTAATTTATGTCGTCCATTGTAACTGCTTCCCTTATTTAGGTTTCTTTGTTTTTCCTCGGGACAATGTAAGAAGGACATTCTCAAACGCGTCAATATTCACTTATTATTCGCTCCAGATTCTCTGGTACGATGGTTACAACTGTTGCATCCCGAGTGTTCCTCGGCCTGTTCAGTGCTGCTCAAGGGTATTCGCAAAAATACAGTAGAATCTCCTGATACTCAGGAATACTATTTTGATGCTGTTGCATATGCGTACATAATTTGCAATAAAGCCAGATACAAAACAGTCGTCTATAGTTGCTGATGTCCGGTCCCGGACCACTCGGACTCGGTCCGGACGCAGGACTGGACTGATGGACCGGTCCTCTACAGTCCAGTCCTCATGGGTCCAGGAGAGGTCCGGTCCTGGGTCCATCATTTTGAGAAATTTCCCGGACCGATGGACTCGTCCGGACCCGGACTGGACTCCGGACCTGAATAACCTGAACTAATGTCTCAAATCTCGTTTCCCATATCTCTAGCTCACTATACTAAAACAGATCATACTCCTTTAAGGATCTTTGAATATTAGCTAGCACTTGCATAGTACATTTTACAAGTTTCTGGCAGTCCAAGCAAAGCAAAACTTTACTCCTGTTCTTTACTGTTCAATGTATGGCTTACTAAACTTGACTCTTCCTATCTGGTTATTGTCTCCCGAAATATTTATTCCCTTTATGTATATTCACTCCTCTCCCGTCCTATGCCAAAGACGCTGCAGTCCCAGCTGCCCTCCCCAGTCAAGCAGCCAGCCAATGCCCCTGCCCCCGACAAATTAGACAAGATGTCCAAAATCACTCTCAGAAAGAAGAAGAACGCTGACGCTCAGGCTGCTTTCCGTGCACGCCGTGCCAACTATATTGCCACCCTCGAAGAGACAGGTCCGTCTGCTGCTAAGTACCTAAATATTCATGTTCTGACAACTAAGTGTCCGTAAATCGCAGTAACCAGCTTAGAGGCAGTTGTAGTCCAGCTTCAGGACTCGTGTCGCGAGGCTCGCGCCGAAGCCTCAGAATTGCGTCAGGAAAACCACTACAGTGTCTAGTCTGTAGATTATGTAGTATATACAAAAATATATTACTTTTGTACTTAGATACAAAGAATAATACTCTAACTCATCTCCTAAATTTTTTTCTCTCAGGTCCGGTTATGGACCGGTCCAGAACCGGACTGGAACTTGGGTCCGGTCCACTACCCGTCCACATAGGTCCGGTCCCCAGTCCGGGACACTCCCGGACCGCAGATTTGGTCCGGTCCTGAGTCCAGGTGAAGTATGCCCGGACCGGACCAGGACCGGACTTCAGCAACTATACAGTCGTCATTCAATTAGGAAACTATCTGAGATCTGAGTGCGCTGTGAGGCTGAGCGGCTGAGAGTCATTATCGGAATGTTATCCACGTCATAATTGTCGGGTATCATAGATTAAAATGCTTAAGATCCATACTTTTCGCTACCTAATACATGCATGCATGCATTTTTAAGACAGCGCCCCGAAACGCGACGCATTAATTACTGATCTGCTTACGCATTAGATAGATAGACAAGCGAAGAGGAGGTAATAGTTGATTATGTCATCACAGGCTGACATGCTTCGTTTCACTTTCAGTGTTTGACATGAAACTACGAGGACATCAAATCTATGTTCTCAACACTCCAGCTTCGGAAAACATCTGCTATATTTTGACAACGCTCTCTATCCAATACTCTCCTTACGTTCCTTCTTTAGTTGCCCATTATGTCCGACCGCACCCGCGATGCAACCTCAGTCCCTCTACCGCTCGAAGTTCTGCTGCCAGCCGTGGTGTCTGTTCTTGTGGTCTTTGTTCTGTCATCTGTGCTCGTCCATCATATCTATCTCATTCGTAGTTCCCAGGCCAAGCGTCTTACCAACAGTTCCAGCCTACTATTACTGTCAGATCGCGAGGCGAACCGTCAATGGCTGGATGACCTCAGACTCGTCAAAGGGCTCGGTTTAGGATGGAAGGCGAAACGAACCTGTAGCCTCAGTTTGGACGTCAAATGTCGAGGAGAGGGAGACTTCGAAGATGAGTTTATCCAGGCTCCCCTTTCGCGTCCGCAAGGCGCTTTCTTTCCTGAATGGCGCCGTCACTCATCGATTCTATCTGATGCCCGAAGAATGCTGAATTTTAGCTGTACTCTACAAAGTTCGCTCTCGCTGTTTGGATGGTCAACACGCACGCGTAGCGATATGGTCATCCCGGAAATCCAGATTACGGTACCGCCCACAGCAGTCTCGGCGACTACTTCGCTTCTCCCACAACACCGCAGATGGTCGAGTACATTCAGACACGATATCGGACTTGCAACAAGCGTGATACCTCAGCTTAAAAAACAAGATCAACACGCTGACACCCATTTCATGCCTCTTATTAAGCAGGAAAGGACATACGCTCCTGTCGGCTCACCAATTGGTGAGACGCGGATTGCCCTCCCTTCTGTGCCCTGCCGCCCAGTCTTCGCTTCTCCGAGAATGGTCGCAACTGACACTGATCGGATACCATGGTGTCGTACGCCATTATCCCCAATTAGCGAAGAGCAAGGATCACGTTGCTCTAGCGCTAGTTCCAGTTCGACCGTAGTCAGCTCAATACTTGATGATGGATACAAAGACAACGACAACGACAAAGGCAGATCCACTTCAAATATATCAACATCTAAAACAGAACGTAGCTTGGTGTCTTCTTACGGCCTTGCTTTGCTACAGTCATCGCACTCGCTGTTCTCGACGACAAGCACTTCGACTGATCTCCTAAATATGAAACCCGCCGACCATCCTAATTCGGCTATTTATACTCCGCGTTCACAATCCGAAGTCCGACTTGTGGCTATGACACGACCTCTAGCAAGTAAGTCTACGGTGGCCCTCGCTTATCTTGATTCTGCGTCTGCTTCATCTGTCGGTTCTGCCTCAACTGTCTCCGAGCTCTCTTACGTACTTTGTCCGCCTTCTGTTCAAAGCCGCACTGGAGGGACACAGAACTCACAACAGGATCTACCTAGCTTGCTTGAATTTCCTTTGTGTGTCCCAGGGTCTGTTGCCACCACCCATACAGGCTCTCTATCCATCAATCAAAGTCCACCGGCCAACCGCTCTTCGTCCCATTAGGTCGTTCTGCAAACAGTACCACTCCAGTATTTTTTCCGGCACAGATGTCCGGTGGTGCACTCAATACTAGGCAAGCCTCTTCTGGCGTGCGTGAACCTGGTTTTGCAACGGACGTCTGTACCATCCCAGAACACACTATTGAGGCTCAGACATCAGTGACCTGTATCGCTGGAATAGAATTATGGGTCGACGAGGACGTAGACTTATTTTATTGTTCCGAGAAACTGTAAATTCTTACATCTATTCGATCGATGCAAAGTCTTCTCAGTTGTGAACCGCAGTATCTGAATAACCGCTAGTACGCAGAGTAGCTCTCGTGGTCGTCTTGCTGAAAAGACTTGATCACAGCAACTAGGCACTCATAACGATATGTTAAATGTCATCGTACTATTAATAAGATATTGTCCATATCCACCAGCACATTCTAAGTATACTCTGTTATGTGTATCTTAGATTGTTATTCATGGACATGAGTAACTTTCCAACACGATATCCAGTACCACAATGTATCCATTAGAATGTGCATTATGACTGTACAACTTCTCTTCGACCGATTACTTATCTACTCCACTAGTAGTTGTTGCACGTGTAGTACGTGTAGTACGTGGTCTGGATCTTTTAGTCACTTTTCCTTTGTCCCTTCCAGGTCCAGTATTCTTGAGTCTCGTGGCATTGGTCCTTCCTGTTTCTGCCGTCGTTCTAGAGGATGTAGTGGATGTAGTGGCTCTAGAGGCTCTAGCGGCAGGCCTACGGGAAGCAGTCGTAGTATTTGTAGAATGGGTCGTATGATGACTTCTAGGATCCGATCGTTTCCTCTGACGCGCTGATGTGTCAAGAGAATAAGGAATGTTCAAACAGAGATGGTAGGAGCGTACCTCTGGGTATGCTTCCTCTCTTTTTACGAGCCTTCCATAGCTCTTTCGCAAATTCACGATCAAACCGCAAGTCATCATCTCGAATGCCAGGTGCGAAGGGTGACTCTGCCGTATATTATTTTGAGTCAAGAAACCGGAAAATAGCTTCACAACAAAACATTACTAACCAATTCCCGAACAAACAGTCGCTATATGGTTAAAGAGGGCTCACTCGAGTGACACTGAGAGGAAAACGGTATTAATACGTACGGTGGAACAAAGCCGCGATCTCCTGGTAATCAGATCGTCTGGAGCTCAGGCTTCCATCTGTGTCCTCACCAAACCATGCATTTACGCTGCTGAAATCTGTTTTGCTAGTATAAATCATGGTGATTTGACACTGTAACACAGTAAAAGTATTTGGGTCGTTAGTATGCATAGTCCAGGAGGGCGAAGCTTTATTACCAACGAAGTCTTGCAAAGTAACCAAGTGGGTACTTGAAACCATTATCGTAGAGTACTTTGCAGTCATAGTTGAGCTATCGTAATCGATATGTCCGCCTTCGGATAAGACTGTGATGGAGATATCAAGCCACTATACCCCGGTGCAGCATGCAAAGTATTCAAGTTTTCGATTTAACCTAGGGCTTGTTTCAATCCCTATTCGTATCAATAAGTGGTAGACCAAAGAAAATGCAATGGTAACCAATAAACGCGAAATAGGATCTGACCGCCTTTCTTCCTTCCATCATTGAAGTATGTTCCTATCAAGGACTTGATGTGCAGTTGGAGGAGGTCTTACTTAAGACCTTCCCACAATTGTGCAATGTAATATAGACGTCCTAGAGGCTAGAATGGTAAAGGCGCATATATCTGATCACTGAATGGGTTACAAAATTGAAATTGCTTTTGAGCAATCAGGTGGTTTCTGGGGCCCGGTAACTAGGTGATTCTGTATTGGAAGTCGATGAGGACAATATCGTCGTCGTTCACGACAATCAACTTGATATTCTCAGGGCCGTGACTCCTTTCACGGTTTGCTCATTCTGGTCCCCGGACTCTAGGCCTGATGATTGACATTGACATGGCGAAAATGATTGGGAACTCATATACATCGTGAACAATCGGGAACCACTGTCAACTGGTAATTAAGAACAAAGTAACACAAATAATGAGTACATGAAAGCTATTACTCGTCTCCGTGAGAATCGTAAAGTCATAATCTATTAACAGTACAAACGTGGAAATCGAGGCATGCTAAACAAAACTGCATTGAAGCAGTATGCGTCATGTTGTTAACATTCGTATATCCTTCAAGTACTTTGCCGCCTTCTTTATTGTTCGCTGTATGAAGTACTGGTCGCGCTTCATGGCAAACGCACAGACTTTGCAAACTAGTAGCCCTTCATTCGCATGACACTTGGAAGTCTTTCCCATGCCTTTTGCGACATCATATGCTGGGAAGCAATCGAGAGACAAAGGTCGATGACAACACTTGCATCTCCTCAAGTCACGATTTCTTGTGAAGAAGCTAGGGTCGTTGACAGAGACACCGAGAATACCGAGCGGAAGTATGTTTGATGGAACAAAGCGCTTTCTCAGGTTTAAAGCGCCTGAAGGCCCGAACAGTTCCAAGTAAACAGTGCTCTGTGTGATGCCATCCGTGAGCGATTTTGCCATTAAGGTACCAGACATCTTGAAGTGGTTATGTAGCTCTGAAATTCGAGCAATGTCGTTGACGGCATAGCGAATATCAGATGAGTTGAGGGGTCTTTCTGCCCATCGGCCCTTGTGATCTGTATCGAGAGTCAACGTTATTATATTATCACATAAAAGAGGAATAATTGTTGCTCACTCTCTTTTCGCGGAGCACCATTAATGCCGTGTTCTACGAGTGCCTTGTCCATTGTACTCAAGGCATGAACACCGTCTATCTGAAGCTTTTCAATTACAGAACTGGGGAAATGATCAGATGCCAGGCGCGAGATCTGAACTTTGCGAGGCTCGCGTCGGTGAATCCGCGATTGAATGTCGACGATCTGAAGATCGAGAAAGGCTTGCATGGGCGTATTATAGATGCGCCAGAGAGTTGTGTAATCTTGCACTCCGCCCCATCCAACTTTTAGGATTTTAGGACTATTTATCAAAGACAGAACACTCCTGGTCGCACGATTGCTATCCTTGAGGGCAAGCATATCGAAAACGAAGATTTCTTCTGCATGAGGCGTGCCCAGTTGCACAAGAGATAAGCTTTCAGACCCATCACGGCACTTTGAGTTGTGCCCCTCGCAGTCGAATAGGACATATGGCGCATTTGCAAGGATCCGCCGTGCTCGAGATGTTGAGCCCTGATTATCGCATATCGTGTAGCGTGTACTTGAGGTCTGTGGGACGGGTGCATCCGCCTTAGAATGTTGGTTTCGACGGCCAGCTTTTGGTCGCGTTTGTAGAAGGACTTGTGAAAGAAACTTTCCACTAGCGTTCTTCAATGTGGCGAGCATAGCGGACGACGATTTCAACTGCAAAGAGAAGCCACCGTTGTCAGATGCAAGGTAACCAGTATGAAGTGAAGATCACATACAGCAAAAGTATAATACTATGACGGAATTGCAGTTGGCCAAAACTTGTAAGTAGACTAAGCGGTCCAGAGCAACTCACGTCCGTCCGTTTTATGCAAAGTACCAGTGTTTTGGCCAATTGCCAGCCACCCAAAGCGTAGGGCAGCGTGGCGTTGTGTTTCGCCACATGAAAGCGCTTTGATGTGCTTAGTACAAGCAAAAAACTACCAATCGTGCTTTAGCGATAGGTTAAAGAAGTCCTGGTCACCTACGCTTTGTAAGTATAAAGTTACTACTGGAAGGCTGACGAGCACAGGCGTAAAAGATTGTCATGGATACCATTTCAAGAAAGACTTTGGCCATGTTTATTCCACTTCCGATATATTACGTAATTTTCATCCATTAATCGTCTAACGTTTATGGTAAAATGTGCTTGAACTAGAATCCGTGAGACTCCCGGCACTCATTCCCTACAGCCGTGCCAGTAAACTATTATTCTTGAATCGATCTTTACCTTCATAATAAGATGCCAGGGGTTCTCCTCTTGGCCGGTCGACAGGACAAAGAATCCTTTGTGGACTGTCAAATTCGGTGGCCAAGTCTAATCGTGTGATTATTGGGACAAAGTGCAGAGAATTTGTCATGCTTGCCGTATTGTAGCTGCTGAAAATCCGGTGCACTGCTGTTAATTAGCTTTGTTGACGCTGTACGACTGTGCTTTGTAAACGGGACTCTAAATAAATCGACTAATGGATAAGCACACTGAGACGACGCGCTAATTGCTCATCGTTCCGTTTACAACGTACGCGAGCAGGGAAGCTCGAACGTCACAAAGCCTTTCGATTACTGACGTCATATACACTGAACGGTAGTGCTAGTAGCAACTTGGTTAGTTCAACGTGCATAACGAAGGAATAGCATTAACCTTTGTAGCCCGATGTCAAGTTTATAGGCTAGACTATGATGATTGTCGAATTCGCGCACTGCGACATAAGGATCCGAGATGTCTGCGATGTTCAAAACGTTTCGCCAGCTCACTCCTTATCACCGAATAATCTTCCTGATGAAGCTACAGAAGACTGCCGTCCGCCGCACAAGGAGGATGATGTCATACCTTTCTCCACTTGAGCGTGTTGCACAGATGCTTGAATTCTGCCAGCACTAACAGTGCGACATTACCGAGCGTCTAGTGCTTCCCAGTTCTGTTACAACAAGCCATCGTCACTCGTTGGATTTCTTTCTATCCGAGCGTCAAGCGGGTTAAGAATAAACGAACCCAGGATGGCAGTTGTGATATCAAGTTTATCCAAGTGACGGGCATAATGGATCGTCAGTCAAAAGTACCAGTAGCGTGGTTTCCTTTCTGGTGTCAAACAAGGCATTGCGCAAGTCCCCGACACCCGGAGAAGATTTCGTTGCCGCGAAGACGAAAGGACTAGACGTCCGCGGCCATTGAGACGCTGATGTGTTTGAGACTAGTAATCGGAGATCACACCCGCACATGGATTCATGGGTTGACGCCGAGTTGATAGCGGATAAATTGTGCGTCTTTCGTTGAAAAGTAGAAGAAACTGCATGGAACCGAAATCCTTTAGGTGTTGACACGCGCTCAACGACTTATGTTGATGTCAATTGGTGATATTCTTGGGCGCAACAGGTGGATCCGAATGGACGTGATGTGCAGGGCTGTTCTTGTAGCGGCATCGTGCCTGATCGTGGTTTGCCGCCGTAGTGCTCGTTTTAAACCCCGACTCGAGTAATCGTTTTTTATTTTTTATTTCATTTTAGGGCAATAGAAGGGTAACGGCGAATTGTCGCGCCCGCGATGGATTGATACAGATGATAGAGCGACGAAAAGGTAGACGGACGAGTTGAAGGTACGAGATGTGAAGGGCCCCCGACTAGTTCTATCAAGTATTTAGGAAGAACAATAGGGCTCCGTGTTCACGTGGCAATTTGAATGGACCCCCTGAGTGCAATTAGAGCGGTTCTTCTTGCAGCCTGAAAGCTCGTTTTGAATACAGGGAACCAAATTGTGGATGCATATGGGAGGTCAGACCCTAATTCTGGAATAACGTAGATCTTGCTAAGGGCGTCTAGGGCGAGGAAGAGGCGCCATGGCTGTGGCTGGACTATATCTGAGAAGAGAGACAAGTAACTGGAATGTGGAATCCGAAGGCAAAAATTCGGTGCTCCAGATACGACTGAATGGGATAAGATCAAAGCCAATCAAGCCTTCTACATATTCTCCACCGTGCCAACGAGTGTCCGTCTATTCGTGCGTCCCGGTGTCCGGATTGAGAAAGGAAGCATCTGATTATGAAATTTCTATTGTGAACTTCGGCGGGAGTGTGGGAGAGACTGAACTTTGCAGTATGCACGGTGTCCACAGGTCATCTGAGCTAGTTCGAGGCTAATTCTACTTTGTGCTTTCGGAAGGGTCAAAGGACTCGAGGCTTATGATGCTGCCCGCAGGATTCATTTCCGGATCGAACAGATTTTCGGAATGACGGAAACTGCGAACTGCATGCCTGGAAGGGAGGGACGATACAATGGAACTGGACCTACTTATCATTTGAGATTGGGTAAGCAAATTGAATGGAGATCTAACTAGCACTAGCGCATCTGATTTTCTGTTTCTCTACTTTCACTAGTTCTCCCTTTTTTTCTCTTCTTCTCGTCTTTCCTTCTCCTTCTTCTCCTCGTCTCGTTCTGTCGTGTCTTGCCACTACAGCGACTACGACTGCGACGGCTGATTGACCGAGACGCCGAGCATACACCAACAGCACGACCGCCACCGCTCGCTCGAGTCCGATCCTGGTGTTGCGGATCCAGATTCAGTGTCAACAATCGTCGCTTAGACTTGCCCCTACGCATACTCCGGCGACACGGGGCACCTGCGCGGCGGCTCTGCACAGCTTCGTCGGGTTGTGTGTGTACGTACATTTGGTCACCGCTTCGGCCTTTGCACACCTTCGGTTTTCTTTGGGGACAGTCCCACTCTCGCCACGAGCGAACTGCACAATTACTGCCACGCTCTTTCTTTTCTCTGTGTAGAGGATAACTGCGACATTCAGTCTCTCGGCCATTGACAGGCCCTTCGCACGACGGAATCAAGTTTTGAATCAGCGCGCGCACGACTGTAATCCTGAGACCGCGGACAGAACACCCAAACAATTTGTACTCGACTCAATTTCTCCAACAACTAATCTTTTCCTTGCGCTCGACCCTTCGTTGTTCAGGCCGAGGCCTCACTGCTGGAGTTCCAGAGAAGTTGCCTAGGAATAATTGCTTGGAAGACGTATCGGCTGCCACCCGAGTTTAACTCGTTCAATATACGTGAGTGCTTCCCGTCGTTTGTTGCTCATTAGTTCCTGTTCTATCATCGTCACCGGCTTTTCCCCACTTCGTTTCCTCTCATTTTTCGTTGTCGATGCCCTTATCGCTTATTGTCGACAAGTGATCTTTATATTCATTTCCTTCTCCTATCATTACAATTTGGTTCCTCATTTCATCATACTTCTTATGTGATTGAACAATAAGAATGAAGTGCTAACCACCTATATGCATCAATTTGCTCCCCTACTTCGTGTATTGCACCGCCCTGGACTTTCCCTCCGGTCCTTTGTGTGTCCACTCCATTATTCCTCGTCTGGTTAACGGGACACGTCATTCCGCGGCTCTGTCATTTGAAACGCCATTGACAAAAACGACCTTCTCATCCGACATCAACGAATGCTCTCGCGATCGCGCTTCTAATTCTTGGTTTTTCGCGCGAACGCTTTTGGCCGCCATTTGCTTCCGCTGATTACTCACGTTCGGGACTCGCATCCGCTCCCTACCTCACAACACGAAACACGATACACGCGGAACTCTGCACGACGCGACATTTTCGTGTCGGAATCACGTAACGTGCCTACCCTTCCCGCGTGCATTTAATCGTTTTGCGCGTGATTCCTGGTGAATCACGTAAATCCGTTTTTGCTGTGCACCTCGTCTACCTGTTCAACTTGACGAAATACTTGCTTGCTGTCTACTGTCGACCTCGTGGCTGTTGCGATACACCCGCATTACATCCCCATCGTGGATCGACGACACTGGATAACGAATATCAATCTCACAGCACCTCAATTTGGACGGTCCTGCATCAAACCATATCTATCGCTGGATCCGCGTATCACACGTTTTGGATCTTCCATTAGAACGAGCGAACGCGGGACTTGTTGGTATTTCGAGCGGTCAGGTTACTGGGGTTATAAGTCTGGGAGGCAACACGGTGTCCTGAAATAATCTAATTAGACTTGGTGAGTATGTGTTCATAAGAGTTTATTTGCGAAGTGGGACAATGGTCGGGCGCCGCATCGTTCACGGAACAGACGCAAAAGCGCCCATCGGCGAGTGGTATAAACAGCTTGTATTATACTGAATAATAGTTTGGCGCGCACTGGAGATCTGAAACGCCGTTCCATGGTTATGTCATCTCTGCATTTCCTTTCATTTCCTTGTACCTTTACCGAAATGGAATCGCTACTGACATTTAAAAAATCTCTTTTCATCATGTCGTGTGTCCCTCTCCCTAGGCTTCTATATTTAAATAGGAGACCGCGAAGAACGGAGAGAAGAGTTAGAGCGCCTTAACGAGGGCTTGCTTCCAGGATTCCGCTTGACGACGTCGACGGGACGACGAACACGCGTTTGTGGTGGTCAGCCCGGTTTGCCCGGGCGGAAGTGACTTGACTTGGGCTTCGACCTGGGCCGTTTTTACGTGCTTTCCTGTTCTGACGACGCACTTGTAATACGACAACTATCACGACCTTCGACTCTACCCCGCCACCGAAAGTTCCAGTGTTCCACTGCTAGAAGACCAGAGGTGACGGATGACAACAGCGACAAGGAAGGTCCCTGCCGAGCTGAGAATGCAGATTGGTTCGGAGACATCGACTTCGACACCTAATGACGTTCTTGCTGCGCTTTCCGCGTTTCCAGCACCACCGAATCATGTCCCGGCATCGCCTGCTGTTTCTGTTGCGCCGGCAAGCACTAGCAGTTATTTTGCTTTGCCGCGGGAGAAGGATAGAGATGCTCCACCGAGTGCGTTTAGCCATGTAATCGGATCGAGGACTACAATGCCTAAGAGGCAGGATAGTGCAGCGAGTGGGCGGAGTGTAAGTAGTGGTCCGAGTGGGAAGCTCAGTGTGCTCGTGAATGGTCGCGACGTCGAGAATCACGGTGCGAAGGACACGAAGAGGGATAGCGGGAGTGGTAGCAGTACATCATCAAGTAAAGGTGGTGGGAGTATCTTACCGAGTCCGCTCAGTGGGCACGTTTATTTCACGGCACCAAATTCACCTCTTCCTTCTGGGACAGGTACAGGACTGAGCTCTGCACTTGGTGATCGAGTTTCTTCGTCCTCGTCTTTGAACGCCTCTTCAGCTTCATCATCGGCATACCCATCATCATCTTCCCAGCCGAACTCTGCTTACCCTCATTCTCCGGCATATTCATACTCGAATATAGGTCGCTTTGCGTATCCAACCACCAATCCGCTCTCGTCTTCAGCATCGCCTGCATCGTTGAATTCGAATGGTTCTCCATTCTATCCAACCTCGGCATATGCTCCAACATCCGCGTGTGCTGCATTATCAATGCTTTCTACACCAGTATCTGGATCCGCTTCAGCTACTTCATCAACTTCATCTGGACACGTGCCGACCAGCGCAGTTGGAATGATCCCTATTGAAGAGAGTAATGAGAAACCAAGGAGACGACGCCAATCTTCGGTTCCTCCACCGAGTTATCGTCAACATCGACAACAGGATGGTGATGGCGGAAGTGACATTGGAAGCCCGCCGAGTGTCCCCCTTCCTCCGCTGCCTCCGACAGCAAAGTCAGATGCAAGCTTTGGGGAGTCAACTCCAAAGCCGACTCAGACCCAAACTCCTGGGACGGCGTCAAGCGTGCACTCTAGGGGTCCACCCTCAGTGAAATCGCTACCTTCATTGCGCTCTCGCAGGTCAAGCAAAAGTGCCAGCACTTACGAGCATGGCAGGCAAGAGAGCGGGGTGAGCGTTACGAGCTGTGGCAGTGGGATTAGCTCATTCAGCTCAGTGGCTCCGAGTTTCTCGGAATTTGGCGTTGCAACGAGACATAGGATCACGTCTGAAGGCGAACAAGCTAGCGAATTGAGGAAAAGCTCGACGGAGGATGGGCTTAAAGGCCGAACGAGGACTCCCCGGTCTGGCGCTTTTCCGTTGAGGATTGACATCCCCCCATCGTTTGCACAAGAGAAGGAACGACTTCAGCGACAGCAACAGCAGCATCAAATAGAGCGGGCACTTGGGTCAGCAAGGTCAGCTGGATCCGGTAACTCTCTGACATCGCCATTGCCTCGGGAAGTCGGTGAGCGTTTCTTGAGAGACCGGACAACAGAAGGGGAGAAGATGAACAGCCCGACTGCAAGTTTGTTTAGCATCGCGAGCGTGGTGACGACGCGCAGCGGGATGAGTGCGGCCCAGTGTTTAAGGACACGAGTGAGCGGTATGTTGGACGGGCTAGGAAATATGCCTCTCAACACGACCCAAAGCACAAGTCCGTCAAGCAATGCACCCGTATCGAGAACGAGCCCGAGTCCGAACTTAGGAGGGGAAGAACAAGAGGGGGTGAGTTGGTCGCTCCTACTGGACATTTTTATTCTACACCATAGCGATTCATTTGTTTCAACCCTACGTTTCGGACCCGTCTTTGCTGTCATTTTTCCGGTTTTTGTTTCGTTCTCGGCGCTTGCGCCATCGCTAGAATTTGATCCGCGCTTTAGCTGTTCCTAGGATAATTCTAAGCGACTTTTCGGTTGTATTCCTATACTGGTCGTACATTCTCTCTGGATGTTTTGACCCTTTCATTCTTCATTTTTTGCGGTCGTTCGTAATTGGTGCATAACTGACCTATTTCGTACACAGATACAGCATACGCAGAACTCAGGTCTGCATCCGCCAAATATGAGCGTACCGAGTGCGAATGGCGCAGGGCCAGGTGACAACCATGCCATGCTTACAGCAGAAGATCTCCTCGCAGAGTTGACTGCGCTTTCAGGAGCGCCACTGGGAGATGGAGATGGTGCGTTTTCGCCACCCGAACTGTCAACCAAGGGAAAGACATTCCGTGCAATGCGTGCCGATGTGACGTCGCAGGTGACCAGTCCCTCACTGGTGCACATTTCACTATCGGGTGTAGAAACGGGTGGAAATGACAATGACATGGTGGGAGCAGGGTCCAAGCTTTCGCCGAGTTTGTTAGGTCAGTTCCCTACCACTCCAACAACGCGGACGAGGCCACCCCCAAGCTCGTTTCCCTTCCCTAGTACTAGTTCCCAGTCTTCAAAGCGAACGCCAATGTCAGCATCGAGTTCGAGTTCGAATGGGATTACGAGAACGATGAGTCAGAGTCGTAGAAAACCATTACCTCCTGATCCACGTGGAGTGCGCTCGTCTGTATCTTCACTTGGTTCTGATGAGTCTGCCAAGAGCCGTTATTCTGCTTCGATCGCAGATGGTGCAATGGATGCTGTTCGAGGGCGAACAAATGGTGGACGAGGTAGCGATCGAGATGGCGCGACGAGTCCGGATATCGCAGCCATGATGTGCGCGACACCTCGTCCTGTTCTGCGCTCTAAGTCACTGTCGGCAAGGTCAAGTCGATCATCGAAATCGCTTTCGGCACGCTCGAGTTCGGCTAGGAGTTCGGTCAGGACCTCCGCCCGTCCTTCTCTTCCTGATGAGCGCGAGCGGCTCAAGGCTCTCGCGCGCGTGAGTGCTGTATCATCGTCTTCATCCACTCCGCCTCCTCGTGTGCCGAGCATCACGCGTAAAGACATGTCTGGGAGACGTTCTGGTGGTTCTGAATACTCCGAAGCTTACGGTGGAATTGAAGAGGACGGTGATGCGACTGTAGATTACGGTGTTGCGATTGCGCGGCATCGTGGCGCGTACGATTTGTCGCCTTCCCTGCTGCAAGTAGATGAGCGTCTTGAAAATGAGATGGACGAGTTCGGTGTACTGCGAAATGGTACAGATGCCACGGACTTCTATGCAGAAGAAGCGGAAGCAATGCTCGGCACTGAATATAACGGCTCTCCAGATGCTGCAGAAGAGGAAAGCGATAGTGATATTGATCTGCACACACCGTTACCGCATATTCTTCTTCGTGAGGGTGTATTGTCACCGCATTCGAAATTGCTCACCTCGACGTCAATGAGTTCCCTCAGCGCGCGCAGTTCTTTTGTTGACTCGGGGAGAGACAGCGTTGCGAGTTATGCTACTCATGGTGTGTCTTGTCTTTATACCCGATCCAACGAAAAATTTATTAATGCCGGATTTCTGCACTTTTAGCATCGCTAGGTTCTGTCATGACAAAGTCAGGGTTGTTCAAAGATGAACGCAACACGGAGGGGCGCCGGCGCCGCCATCGAGATGGTAAACTTCTCAGAGAGGGCCTCGGACTGACGACTGGTCTCGGTTGGAGCGATAGGTGCGTTAATGTCGCTGTTCCTCTCCTAAAAAAAGTTCTTATAAAGTACGATCATTTAGTGAGGACGAGGACGCACCTTCGCCGTTCACTGATCGGCTATCAAAACTGGCGCTGTCACGAAAGACAAGCATGGCTTCCGTCCAATCCTCGTCGTCTAAGAAGTCTCAAGTTTTTGCACGCTCGATCCCTTCCTCTTTGAAGACCAGGACTCCGTCGACTAATTTAACCCCGCCAAGTCTAGCATCGTCACTATCACGAAGCCCCGTGATGTCAAGTGAACGACAACTGCTGTCCAAATCAAATTCGTCCTTGAACTCGATGGGAGTGGTGGCGGAATCGGTTGGCAAGCGAACATCACCAACACCAACGAACTCAAGTGCTGCCAGCGTGCCGTTCCCGTCGACACCACGTGAAGATATATACGATGAGTCGGAGGGGAGCTTATTGTCCGGTTCGATCAGTCGCAGTCGAACGACTTCCAGAACACCCAGCAGTAGGGTAAAGACACTAACTGTAAAGTCAGTTAGGACTGCCCAGAGCACTTCACAGCTTCGTCCTCAGGCCACAGCAACCTTAAAATCTATACCGCCGTCTCGACTTCCGTCGACTGGAATGTCGACGCCTCGTCCTTTGCGCTTACCCGCACTTCAGCAACAAAGAGTATCGTATGTTGATACTGAGGAAGATGGTATGATGCTTCAGCCTGGCCAGCCAACACCTGGCTCCGGCTCAATATTGGGCTACAACCGCAACTTACATGATCGTCAACGTGCAGCACTTCTTGCAACTCCAGCAACTGCACCTAGCAAGGTAAATCCGTCTAGCCTTCCGTCGCCTCCATCACCCGTACTTTCTGCAAAATCGGCACCCTCAACCGCTACTACGTTTGAGAGTCGACGTACTTTCGGTTCTATGCTTGCAACGTCAACTCTACGTCCACCTACTCGGACTGTGAGTAGAGAACCCTCCCCGTCACGGCTATCCGCTCCCAGTACAAGCCTCGGACGACCTCGCACTGGTACTGGGATGGTGTATCGTCAGAGCTCGTTGCCAGTGTCCCCGGTTGGGACGGCAATTTAGTCTGTAGCATGCAATTATTCAGTTGACGGTCATAGACTTTCGCCGCTCCAACTACGGTCCGCAGCTCTGGATTTTATTCACGTTTTATACCCTTCACGTCAATGTATCTTCAACCAGCCTATGGCTATGATCTATACCACCACTCTTTCCCACATCCGAGCATTCCTTACGCATCTTAGTACATCGGTTTTTTTCTATTCGGGCTCGTCTCTTGGCATACGCATCCTTCCAATCTATCAACCATCTCCTTTCTCTATGGATAACATGTGACACTTGTTCTTATACGCGCCCGTCTGTATATTTTGCGGATTCAATCACATTTGCCTCCCCGTCACTTCTTTTCCTTCCCTCTCTCTTTTTTTTCTCTCGTCATCTGGAATCCTAAATTCTATTTATAGTCATTCAATATACCTTATCATCCTACCCTCGGTGTTTCTGTAATTCCTTACAAGCCCTCTCCACGCCCGCAGCATCTCGGTTCATTTTGTCATGTTGTTTGGATATAAACCGTCTATCTTCCTATCTGCTTCTCTCATTTTCATGTTTCGTCACTTCTATCTTTGTGCGGAACCTCGGATTCCACATCATCTCTTTCTAATTCTTTTGTTTCTCGTATCGTTTTGGCTTCGAGGATTTCTTTCTTTTTTCCCATTGTTTGACGGAAACTAGGATTTCTTTCTACAGTTCATTGGATCAGTTTGGTAGAATCAATTAGATGAATTTGTCTGCTTCTGGGATGAAATTGCAAGCACAAATACAGTCAGAAATCTTGAGACGAGACAGCAAGTTGTCGAGTGCATGCATAAAGACAACAGTAAACGGTTGGAATGTAATTTGTATTAAAATGCAAGTCCGATGAGAAATCAAACTAGATTTGTGATGGTGCAGTATCCTGAAAAGTTAGAGTGTCGCCAGATGACTCCAAAGCCTCTCCGTTTGTTGACCAGAGGAAAGTTGGCCAAAGGGCAACAGTTAATGGAGGGACAATATTAACTGTCTTATCAATTAAATAAAGAAGTGCCATACGCAATGTTAAACAGTACTGCGTCAAATTTCTTTTCGATCATCCGCCCACACAGATAAATTAAAAAATTGGCACCATGCAAGATTGATATTGAGAGTACAAATAAAACCTTGTTCAGTTTATATTGTATAGTGTAAAAGCGTCTAATGAAATGAAACAAGTAAAAGAATGAGAAATTGGGAACACAAGCGTGCCCACGGGGAGGTGTGTAATATCCAAATCATTGAGCCAATTACAAAAGTTGACTATCAAGTTATGTCCGTAACGTATATCAATACCAGAGTCCGAAGTGCACGACCATCTTTAGCAGCAACACGGAATGGGAATAATGTAGCAGCAGCTACCGTCCTAGAGTGGAAGTGATACAAATAAGTCTTCGGATGATGAGGAAACAAAAGAAATACACGACTTACTGGACAAGGAATACATCCACCACGAAGTCTCATAGCACCATTTCCGCTTTCCCCACCTCGTGCAGTCGTCATCGTCGAGGCAGGAGTTGGCTGTGTATTCACAACGCGATCAGCTTCGGTGATGTTTGTGGAACCAGCGCTGCGTAAGATGCTTCGAGCGACAGGAGGCTGGGTTATCGTTGGATTGTGAGACATGATGGTTAATGAGTATTCGCGATAGCGGTGGTTTGGGATGGATGAAGGACCCAAGGAGGAATTGGTGCCACCAACTTTATGTCACAGGGACCAGTAAAGGCTACTTAGATTGACGTCATTACACCGATCACACGAAAACACGTGCATCTAGACTGCGAACATTGTGTATGTAGCATGTCTCCAACTCCATGATTTTTCTCTGCAGGCCAACGTTGAGCTTATGCATCAATCCCTCAATCACTATTCCTTAACCAACAGTCAGTCAGCAGAATATCAAACCAGTGTTATAGGCTTCCTAGTGCTATGTACCCTAAATCATAATCAAAGTCTGATTGGCTTACATGAATGTAGTAATGTATGCACCTCTGTCACATCAATATATAGTTTTAAAATAAAACTAAATTATATTATAAGCCTAACAGGGTGATTGTTAACAATATTAATATATATAATCACATATTATCTTACTAAAAGTATTGTAATTAACTTACAAGTACAATGTATTACTTTTATAACTATTATAATCAATCAACTATTGTTACAAATAACTTATAATATAATTTTAGCATATTATAATAGGAGTTAAGTGCTTGTATCTCACATGTAATGTTGTAATAATACTATTAGTAAGTTTACTTGCTCTAAAACATGTTTTTAGTTTAATAGAAACTTTGTATATTTCTTACATTTATATACAATCATTATAATTACATTACAAGTAAAATACAAGTAGTATTTTAGAATGTAATGCTTATGAAATCATTTCATTAGATTACTTTTGCTATTATTAAATACATTTGTTGCGACTTTTTCGTGATGTAATCCTGATTGATATCTATACTTGGATCAGACCAGGGCCAGGGCCAGATTACAGCATCTACAGTACACACTTCTTTAAGATGGATCACTGCCTCATATATTGCTTACATAATCAAGTACAGAAGATCAAGAGTATATAATGACACACTTGCTCTTGTCACTCCTTTCCCTCCTACCTCTACTATCTCCCTAATCCTCTTCCCCCAACATTATATTGTCTCTTTTATTCTCTCCAGCCCAGTCCTCTACATACAAGCATCTTCCAGCAGGTACAGTACCTGCAATCATTTAGATAATAAACAGTACTATATTTGTCTCTCTGATCTGTTACTATAATGTCTGTACTAAGCCTCAGATCCTGTAACAATACAACTGAGCTGGCTACACCAGCCTTCATTGTAAAGTGTAAGCAGCCAGTCCACTTCATAATAACTTGTACAATGGTTGCTCATCCCTCTCCTCCCAACTTTTTGTCTCCTTTCCACCCCTCCTGCTCCTTACTCTACTACTTGTGTTGCCTCTCCTTCATTGTACTCCTTTGTTTATGCTTGCCTTCCTGTTTGCATTTTTATTCACACATCTGCATTGTAAACTAATACTGAATGACTTCTTCAATGTTTCCATACATTTGTATACTTCCTACTCTGTAGTACAAGTAACAGTTAACAAGTGTGTGCTCACAACAATACTAATATACAACCACTCCTATAGTACAACCCTCTCTTTAACACTATATACACTCTCCTTCCTCACCCATTCTATACTTAACATTACTCTCTACAGGTCTACTCTACATGTATTTACATTCTCTAGTGTAGCAGATAACACTATATTAAATAGAAGTAGTAGACTACTACTTACCCCTCTTAAGCTGAGTCTGTCCATACATTCCACTTTGCCTTCTCTGTTCAAGCCAGTATGTGTTAGGACACAAACATTTATCAGTATATATAGTGTGGACCAGGTGTCAAGCCAAGCTTGACATTGTACCCTTTTGGTGAAGAGGTTCTATGTATGGTCCACTATATATAGTAATCCCTCACATAATGTCAAGCTTAGAGCAGTCAGGGGTTCAATCCTGATGTAGGGTTGTCTGTGAGCAAAAGTATTAGGCTGAGAATAAGCTTCCTAAAAGGGGGGGAGTGAATTTCTCAGTTGCTTAGAATACTGGGGCCAGGACTCTATATTAGGATATCTCTCCCTACCTCTAAGGACTGTCAAGGTTAAGCTAGAAATAGTAATCTTTGGGGTCAAACTCTATATACTGGTCATGTGAGGACACATGACTCTAGAGAGGAGAGTAATGTTAGAACACAAACATTTATCAGTATATATAGTGTGGACCAGGTGTCAAGCCAAGCTTGACATTGCACCCTTTTAGTGAAGAGGTTCTATGTATAGTCCACTATATATGGTAATCCCTCACAGTATGTCCCAGAGATACACCTTTACAATCTACAAAAACAACTCAGTTTACTACTCCTCTAATTGTATGTCAGTCAGAATATAATCATATACATACTTTAGTCAGAATATAATTATATACATACTGATACAGCTTTGTCTACAGCCTGAATCAACTCATTCAACACTCCAGATCTTAACCTGTATGTACTACTCACACTTACTATACACTGTCACAGTACATCCACCTTTTATCTCCTATTGTCACTTGCTAACTACTCTAAACCTGTCTAACAGGTGCAGTCTCAACCTCTACAACCTGCTTGACCTCATCCTATACACACACACAATTTGACTTACAGGTCCTGAGTAACCAACCAACCATAGTAACAAAGACTACATTAAACAGTCTGAGAATGTATTCATCCTTTTCTGACACAAATTCTACTCACAAAAGAACAAGACAGAGGCTGCTAGTAGTGTAGAGGTTAGGACTGTAGAAATAATGTATCATTTATTATTTTGTATTAAATAATTAAATATAATTATATTTTATTAATTATTTGATAAAAAATTGTATCCAAAGTAAAAGGAAGCAATTCAAACACTTGTAATAACTTATAAGTATTATAAGCAGATATTATACTTTCTCAAATAAATAAGTATGTCTTAGTCTTGTAATCTTAGAAAGTGTTATAATCACTTTTATAACTTGACAATTTATAAAATTATAATAGAAATTGCTAAGTTTTAAAAGTATTCTTACTTACTTATCTAACATTGTACTATCATTACTTAACCTTCTAGGAAGATTATATGTAATTGGACAAATTTTATAAAATATATAAAATATATGAGATTACAAGTAAGTACAATACTTAAGACTTTTTCATAATGTAAAAGGTATGTTATTAGCAGACTGATCAGTAAAGTTCCTCTTAGACAAATGAGTAACAATAATAAATTTAACTTTGACAATGAATGTTACTAATCTAGAGTAAGGAACTTCTGTAAATCTGTTAGTGTGTTAGATGGTGATCACAGACTAGTCTGACCAACACAAATGCTAGGGTACTTGTGGCCTGTATCAGATAGAGAAGAATAATCAATTAGTCAGGAGTATACTGAATGGCTAGTAGAGCTGATACTGGATCAGCTTTATAGCTATAACTAAAGGAGAACTAGTGGACACACTGTTCTGTAACAAAGTCTGTAATGTGAGTGTGTACTAGAAGATTTCAATTTGATACTATTACAGAGAAGCTGTTTGCCATCTTGTTTTGATTCATTATACAATAATATTTACCTGTACTAATCATTAAATGATTATCAGTTCAGACTATAATACTTACTAGCTAACTGTATATATGTCTAGAGACATTACTCACCCTATCCACCTACTTATTATCTCTAGTTCTACAGCTTAATAATATAATGTAATCTCACAGTTTCACTAGCCACTTGATTACATAATACTCTCCTATTTAAAGTCTTGTATACTCCTTGTCTTGTCTTATCAATTCTATTCTGTTAACTGTTCTGTGTCTCAGTATAGTATTAGCTTTACTTTTTTTTGAATGTCTTAACCTACTAGTCCTA